GGGGGACGCATGGACCCCCAGTCGCCTTCTCGGCGCCAAGAGGCGCCTGAGAGCACGCCCCGCCCGGGAGCGTGCGGGTTCGTCCTCGGGGGCCCATCGCCCACCCATCGGCGACAGAGAGCGTCGTCGACGACGACGACGACGACGACGTCGACAACGACGTCGACGACGACGACGATGGCGACGGCGGCGGCGGCGACGACGACGATGTTGACGGCGACAACGACGGCGACGACGACGAAGCCGACGACGACGACGACGACGATTGCGACGACGACGACGACGACGACGACGACGACGACGACGACGACGACGACGGCGGCGGCGGCGGCGGCGGCAGCGGCGGCGGCGACGGCGACGCTTCCATCGGCCACGGCGACGGCGAGGGCGGCGGCGGCAGCGGCTTCGACGACGGCGACGCAGCGGGCAGCGGCGACGCGATGTTTCCACACCGCCACTGCCGCTGCCTCTCGCAGGTGCACGGCAGAGCCCCCGCCTCCGAGGGCCGCGTCGACTTTGGCCGCGTGCCGATCCGGCGGTCCACCGTCCTGCCCAGGACTCGGGCCTGGGTTCCCCGAACATGGAGTGCGGTGACCACGTCGCGCCGCGTGGTGGGTCAGCGTGGGGTGGGGGGGGGGCGAGATGTTCGAACGTCTGCGTCGGTCCTTGTGGGTGTCTCAGCCTCGGGATGCGTGCCAGCAGCTGCGCCTCGCCGAGAGCGCTCCGGAGGTGCCTGGATCGCCCAGAACGGCCACTGGGGAGCCGAGGTATGACCCAAGAACCGGATTCGGCGGCGCGCCCAGGAGGTACGGTCGGACCGAGGTATACGATCGAGGTCGGTTCGGGGGAGGGTACCCTAGTGTGATTCGTGCTTCTGGGATGTTCTTGTGCACCCTGGGGGAGGGTACCCTGGAGTGATCTCATGGTTTGGGGTGTTTTGGCCGGCGCAGGGTTGAGGTATGGCCCAAAAGCCAGACATTCGAAGGAGGGCCGTTGTGGCGAGTCAGCGGAGTTCGGGGTCACTGCGCGGTCTTGGGACTCTTGTCGTTCTCCGAGGACGTCTCGCGCCACCTGGGGCCTCCAAGGGTCCCAAAGACTGTGCGGCGGCGACGGACCGTGCGGTGAGGTCGTTGGGGATTCGAGGGCACCGCACGGTCTGTCGCATGGTTTTTGGACCCCCAGCAGGACAAAGGCGCCCCCTTTCGGCGGCGAGCGAGGGGGGAAGTGAGAAGGAGAAGGCCTTCTCAGAAGGCGGCGGGACTCCTCAGAAGCCCTCGCGCCTTCTGAGAGGTTACCTGTGTCTTCGGGGGAGGCTTCGAAAACTTCTCAGCAGTCCGGGGAACTTCCGAGCCTTCTCAGAAGGTTCGCCCCTCAAGATTCTCACTTCACCGCGGGCGCGCCGCCTGCCCTTGCCCAGGGTGTCACCAGGATGTCCTGGGAGGTCCCGAGGGCACCCAGGGCCCCCCCCCCCTCGCGCGGCACAGCGAGGGCCCCCACGGGCTCCGAGAGAGAGAGAGGCCGAGAAGCTGGGAACACACCTTGGGCCAGGACCACCCTCCCGGGCACAAGGCGCCTTCCTTGCCTCCACACTCCAGGCGCCCTGGGATCGGGTCGGGGGATCGCGCCGCATCGCCGATGCATCGGCGACGCGGCTCGATGCGGGGCCCGATTTTCTCCGCGCCTGCGTCGCCGAGGCATCGCCGACGTCGACGATGCATGGCCGGTGCATCGCCGATACATCGCCGATGTATCGGCGATGCGGCGCGATCTTCCGACCCTACCTACTCCGACCCCATTGAGGAGGCCTCTACGTACTGGGTCCCCGGAAGCGCCCTCCCCTTCACAGGGTTGGTTTCTCATTTCGAGTACAGGGAAACTGAAAAGAGTGGCCAGGGCCAGCCCTTTCACTCTGTTCCAGCCCTGGTCGATGTCCTTCCGTTTGTCCAGTCCTGGCGACCAAGTCCCCATGGTTTCGGCTTTGTTCCAGCCCCTGCCATTTTGTCCAGTACTGGCCACTTCCTGTTTTCATAGATTTTCTACTGGTTCAGTCTTCTCTGTCATTTTCTGACGGCCCTGGGGCCCATCGAGGACCCGCGGATCCCAAGACCAGCCCAAATCTTCCCCGTCGTGCTTGTCGTCTGGGACGCGAGCACGTCTGGGTTGGGCCAGGACCACGTTGATGATTATAGCAACCCGCGACAGGACCTTCTCGAGGGGGCTGCCGGCTGGCGTCCTGGCGTCCTGGGACGGCGCGTGGCAGGCGGAGCGACGAGGGCAAACGGGCTCCTCTTCACCGACATTGGCGCGTGAGCTGCCCGCCAAAGGTCGCACGCCCAGCGTCGCGTGCCGCGCTGGCGGCCCGCGTAGAGCCGCACCGAGGTGTGAGATCGAGGTCGATTCGGGGAGGGTAATACCCTGGGGTCATTCGTGCTTGTTGGATGCTCTTCTACATCGTGGAAAGGGCACCCTAGGATGTTCTGTTTGTTCTGGCCGACGGGACTTCTCGTGTTCTCGAAATATTGGGAAGGCCTAGCGGCCGGTGCCGCCGACCCTGAAGGGGGACGACGGCGGCGGCGGCGGCGGCGGCGACGACGACGACGCTGACGCTCTGGAGCCTTTCTTAGGGCTCTCTCGGCAGCCTCTCGGGCTCTGCTGGGGGCAGGGGCCAGGGCCGAGGCCGGGGCTGGAGCCGAGGCCGCGGCGGGGGCGGGGGGCCGGGGGCCGGGGGCCGGGGCTGGGGCGCCCGGGCGCCGGGGCCGGGACCTGGGCTGCGGCTGACCTTCCAAGAGGGCTAAAAAATAACCCGCGTTTTAAAACCCTATCCCAAAGCTATTCTACGTCTTGGTTTTAGGCTGTTTCGCTCAGTTCTTTAGGTTTTTTGGTCTCCAGTGCTACAAAATAGCTCTCTGGAAGGTCAGGGCCCTGGGCTGGTCCGGGTCCGCCGGGGCCCTGGCCGGGGCGCGGGGGGGGAAACTGTCTGGGTGGAGACCCCCTTGGGACCCTCGAGGACCACCTTGACCCCCCTGGCGGGACCGGGGGGAAGGGATCAGAGAGAAGAGGTTCTCCTTGCAAGAAAGGAGGAAGAGGCAGAGGAAGAGGGCACGGGGCAATTGGAACAGAGAAGGACGGATACAACGACTCCGACGGAAAAGCCCGACTCAAACGGAAAAGCCCCTCACACACGCCGACAGGGTCGGCGGATGACGGGAAGCGTCTTCGAGGAACGAGAAGCGAGCTGGACGTTTTGGCTGAATCCTCCTCGTATCAGTAAGAGATCTCTTAACTATAGGGGGTGGCGGGCTGCATATTATACAGGCTTAGCGGATTCCTCGGGATGGCGATTTTACGTGAGACATCTTCACAAAAATGAGATCTTCGCGACATCGCGTTTAAACAAAACAAGCGTTTCGCTCGAGACATCCTGGAACAGTTGATGACAGCGAAATTTCGCCGTCTGTGAACATTGGCATTTCGCTCGGGACATCCTCGAAAAAATGAGATGACGACTGAAGTCTTTAACTAACTCTTATGTTAAGAATTGCGATTTCGCTAGGGACATCCTCAGAAAACGAGCGGCAGCACGGCGGACCAGAACGAAGAGCACGGCAGAACATTTGCATTTCGCTAGGGACATTGTCAACAAAATGAGATGTCCTCAACGTCGTCTTGATATCGTTCTCGAAGTACCTCAAGATGACGAAATGAGAAGCCAAAAAGCACGTCAAGATGGCTGTCAGAACGATTGGGGGACTTCCGAAAATAGCGATTTCGCTAGGGGCATCCTCAAAAAGTGAAAACATACACCAGCATCGACATGAAAACTGTTGTTCTTACATAGTTTTGACTTTGCTTCTGAAAAGGCTTCCAGACGGTCCAAGGCAGCCTTCTAAAAATGTCGATTTCGGTAGGGACATCCTCAAACAATTGATGCGTGCGACATCGCATCGTAATGATTTTAGGAGGGCATCAGGAAGCAAAAGAAGGCCACAACATGGCCCCAAGAGCGCCCTAAGGGTTGGCTGAAAATAGTGATTTCGCTAGGGACATCTTCAAAATAATAACAAATCGAACAACATCGTTTTGAAAACTGCTGTTTTAACATCGTCTGGGGATCGCTCCTGAAAAGGCTTCTAGATGATTTAAGCCAGTCATCTAAAAATGACGATTTCGCTAGGGATATCCTGAACAAATGAAGGTGTGTAACATTGGACTGTAACGGTTTTGTAAGGCATCAAGAAGGCCCCCAAAGGCCCCAAACAAGCCCAAATTTGACCCCCAGGAGCGCCCTCGAGACGATCCAACATGGCGATTTCGCCTGAGACATCCTTGCAAAAATGAAATGTTCACAACATCGATTTCATCAAACATGAGCGTTTCGCCTGAGACATCCCTTAAACATGGGAACCCGCGAGTTCGACAGATGTTCAAAAACTAGCGTTTCGCCTGAGACATCCTAACAACAATGATATCTTGGAGTGGCGGTTTCAATACCTCTCATGTTTAAAATCGCGCTCTCGCTGCATACATCCTCAAACAAATCGGGCGGGGCATGGTCGGCGAAAAAAGTGCTCATTCGTTCTTCACGTCTATTCTGCCGTGCTCTTTCGTTATTGGGGTCTATTCTGAAATGCTCCTTGTTTTTTTGTGCCGTGCTCCTTCGCTCTTCTAGCCTATTCTGCCATGCTCCTGGCCAGTTTCTGTCACAATCCATTGTTCTTGGGGCTTATGATGCCGTGCTCCTGGTCGTTTGCTGCCGTGCTCCGTAGCTCTTGGAGCATGTTCTGCCGTGCTCCTTCGCTTTCGGGGTTTATTCTGCCGTGCTCCTTGTGTTTTTCTTGCATGCTCCTTCTTCCTTGGGGCGTGTTATGCTGTATTCTTGCATCTATCTTGCCGTGCTCCTTAGCTCTCGCGGTCTATTCTGCCGTGCTCCTGGTCACTGGTCGTGTTTTGCAATGCTCCTTCTTTCCTGGCGCCTATTCTGCCGTGCTCCGCAGCTCGTGGGGTCTATTATGCCGTGCTCCTGTTTTTTTTTGTCATGCTCCTTCGCTCTTGGGGCCTCTTCTGCCGTGCTCCTCAGCTCTTGGGGTCTATTCTGCCGTGCTTTTTTGTTTTTTTTTCTGCCGTGCTCCTTCGCTCATGGGGCCTATTCTGCCGTGCTCCTGGTCTGTTTCCGCCGTGCTCCTTAGCTCTGGGGTCTATTCTGCCGTGGTCCTGGTCTTTTTCTGCCGTGCCCCTGAGCTCTGGGGGTCTATTCTGCCGTGTTCCTGGTCATTTTCTGCCGTGCTTCTTCGCACTTGGGACATCTTCTGCCGTGCTCCTTGTCTCTTGGGTTCTATTCTGCCGTGCTCCTCGTCTGTTTCTGGTTTGCTTCTTCGCTCTTCGGGCCTATTCTGTCGTGCTCCTGGTCTTTTCTGTCGTACTCCTTGGCTCCTCTGGCCTTTTCTGCTGTGTTTCGGTCTTTTCTGCCGTCGTCCTTAGCTCTTGGGGCATCTTCTGGCGTCCTCCTGGTCTTTTTCTGGCGTCTGTTTCGCTCTTGTGGCCTATTATGCCGTGCTCCTTAGCTCTTGGGGTCTATTCTGCCGTGCTCCTGGGTTTTTTCTGCCGTGCTCGGCAGCTCTTGGAGTATTCTGCCATGCTCCTGGTTTGTTTCCGACGTGCTCCTTCGCTCATGGGGCCTATTCTGCTGTGCTCCTGGTCTTTGTCTGCCGTGCTCCTGCTTTTGTTCTGCCGTGCTCCTTCGCACTTGGGGCATATTCTGCCGTGTTCCTTGTCTCTTGGGTTCTATTCTGCTGTGATCCTCGTCTTTTTCTGGTTTGCGCTCTTGGGGTCTATTTTCCCGCACTCGTTCGGCTCTCGGGGTCTACTCTGGCGTGCTTCTGTTTTTTTTCTGCCGTGCTCCTTCGCTCTTGGGGCCTATTCTGCCGTGCTCCTGGTCATTCTCTGCCGTGCTTCTTAGCTTTTGGGGTCTATCCTGCCGTGCTCCTGGTCTTTCTCTGCCGTACTCCTTCGCACTTGAGGCATATCCAACCCTGCTCCTTAGCTCCTGGGGTCTATTCTGCTGTGCTCCTGGTCTTTTTCTGCCGTGCTCCTTCGCTCTTGGGGCCTAATCTGCCGTGCTCCTGGTCTTTTTCTGCCTGCTCCTTAGCTCTTGGGGTCTATTCTTCTGTGTTCCTTGTCTTTCTCTGCCGTGCTGCTTCGCTCTTGGGGCCTATTCTGCCGTGCTCCTCATCTTTTTCTGCCGTGTGCGCCCAGAAGCTCTGCCAAAACGACCACCGCGACGATCCGCACGGCAGATACAGGAACACGGCAGAACACACAGAGCACTCAGAGGCACGGCAGAACACAGAAGCACGGCAGAACAGGAGCACGACAGAACATACAGGAGCACAGCAAAACACACCCCGCACGCACGCCGACACGCGCGCCACGGCATACCTGCGCGGCATAACAACAACAGAGCATTTTCCACATGCTTGGTGGACTAAAGCGACGCTTCCCGTTCTTGTCCGGTCAGGTTTTCTTCTGGCCTGGGTCCGACTGCAAACCACCCAGAAGATGGTGTCGGAGGATCGCGCCGCATGGCAGACGCATCGCCGGTGCGGCTTGATATGAAGCCCGATTTCTCTCCACGCCGATTGCGCCGATGCATAATCGCCGACGTCGTAGGCACATCGCCGATCATTTGCGATGCGCCGCGATCTTCCGACCCCATCTCGGACTCTATGTGGGAAGTTTGAGGTGTACTTCGCTATGGGACCACGGAAAGTGTGAGGGGGTATGCCAAAGTGAGGGGAGTGACGGGAGGAGGAGGAGGAGGAGGAGGAGGAGGAGGAGGAGGAGGAGGCGGAGGCGGAGGAGGAGGAGGAGGAGGAGGTGCAGGAGGATGAGGAGGAGGAGGAGCATGAGAGGGAGGGAGGGAAGGAGGGAGGGATTGAAGGATGGAGGGAGGGAGTGAGGGAGGGAGGGAGGGAGGAGGAGGAGGAGAAGGAGGAGGAGGAGGAGGAGGAGAGGGAGGAAGGGAGGGAGGAAGGGAGAGAGGACGATGATGTTAATGATGATGATGATGATGATGATGATGATGATGATGGTGATGATGATGATGATGATGCTGGTGATTCTGGTGATGCTGGTGATGAGGATGAGGATGAGGATGAGGATGATGATGTTGATGACCAACATGATGATGATGATGGTGATGGTGGTGGTGATGATGATGCTGATGATGATGATGATGATGATGATGATGATGATGGTGATGACGACGATGATGCTGATGCTGATGATGCTGATGATGCTGCTGATGCTGATGATGCTGCTGATGCTGATGATGGTGATGGTGATGATGACGATGATGATGATGATGATGATGATGAGGACGATGCTGCTGCTGCTGATGATGCTGATGATGATGACGATGCTGATTATGATGATGATGATGATGGTGATGGTGTTGGTGATGATGATGATGATGATGCTGATGATGATGATGACGATGATGATGATGATGATGATGATGATGATGGTGATGGTGATGGTTCGGGTGATGATGATGATGATGATGATGATGATGATGATGATGATGCTGCTGCTGCTGATGATGATGATGATGATGATGATATGATGATGATGATGCTGATGATGATGATGATGATGATGCTGATGATGATGATGATGATGATGATGATGATGATGCTGATGATGCTGATGTTGATGCTGATGCTGATGCTGATGCTGATGCTGATGCTGTTGTTGGTGCTGATGCGGATGCGGATGCGGATGCTGCTGATGTTGCTGATGCTGCTGATGCTGATGTTGCTGCTGATGCTGCTGATGCTGATGCTGCTGATGCTGATGCTGATGCTGATGGGGAGGAGGAGGAGGAGGAGGAGGAGGAGGAGGAGGAGGAGGAGGAGGAAATGGGGGCACATGAGCACAGCAGGAGGAGCAGGAGCAGGAGAATAGGAGGAGAAAAGGAGGAGGAGGAATTGGAGTAGGAATTGGAGGAGGAGGAGGAGGGGGAGGAGGAGGAGGAGGAGGAGGAGGAGGGAGGAGAGGAGGGAGGAGGGAGGAGGGGAGAGGAGGAGGAGCGGAGAGTGGAGGAGAAGCAGGAGTAGGAGGAGGAGGAGGAGGAGGAGGAAGAGAAGGAGGAGTAGGAGGAGGAGGAGGAGGATGAGGAGCAGCCACTCGAGGTGGATGCCGCTCCCGGGCCGCGGCGCTCCGCCGCCTGCGCCCGGCTGAACGGCGCCCTCGGCCACCTGCGCTTCTCCCGGCCTGTGGTGCTCCGCAGCCTCGCGGTCGTGGGGGGAAGACAAGGGCACGGCCGGACCGAGGCATAAGATCGAGGACGAGGACGAGGAGGAGGAGGAGGAGAATGAGGAGGTGGAGGAGGAGGAGGAGGAAGGAGGAGAAGGAGGAGGAGGGAGGAGAGGAAGAGGATTAGGAGGAGGAGAAGAGGAGTCGGAGGAGGGGAGGAGGAGGATGAGGGGGAGCGGGCGGGGGAGTGGGTGTAGAGGGGGAGGGGGAGGGGAGGATTTGGAGACCGAGGAGAGGAGGAGGAGGAGGCGGAGGAGGGAGGAGGAGGAAGAGGGAGGAGGAGGAGGACGAGGAGGAGGAGCAGGAACAGGAGGAAGAACTGGAGGGGGAACAGGAGGAGGAGGAGGTGGAGGAGGAGAAGGATGAGGAGGCGGAGGAGTAGGAGGAGGAGGAGGAGGAGGAGGAAGAGGAGGAGGAGGAGGAGGGGGAGGTGTGGGGGGAGGGGGAGGAGGAGGGGGAGGGGGAGGGGTGGGGGGTGGGGGTGAGATTTAAGAGTATGTGGCGTGCGCTGTTGTCTCGCGCCGAAGCGTTTTTTTCCTGCGCGGCATCTCATGGCGCGAGCTTGCTCGCGTGCACGGTTGCGGCGCGCGCATTCGGAAATATCAGGTCTAGCAGTAGTTGCCGCATTTGTACTCATGTAATTACTACTATAATACTAAGGTCATGCTCGTGCGTTTGCTCATTGTCCTACACATCCTCCTGACCTTACGCATACAGCAGCGTCGTATGCTTATTTCTACTAGGTGATATGCTGATGCTACTTCTGCTCCAGATGTGCGACGAATCCGCGGCGCCGCTGGTGTCTGTCCGCGCGCATCGTTGTCGCACCGAGACCCCGCCGCCAACGCGCCCCCCACATATTGCTGCGTGTACAGAGCTAGCAAATTTTTACCGGAGTACAGGGGCAAGCCAGTGCCCATTAACAGATTCCTTGAATGACACAGCCCTACTCTGCTTACTGATCCGTCAGCCGAAGCGCATGGCGCTCAGGCGGGATATGGCGGCGTCCACGCCGTTGTGGAAGTTGCCGCAACGGATGTACATCGCGCTCAGCATCGAGTCCTGCGCTACGCTGGGGCCGTTTTTGTTCCGTGTTCCAGGTCGGCGTTTTCTTTCTGTTTTGGGCACCGTTTCTGGCACGTGCTCAGCCAGGGGGTTGGCCTGTCGCCCACCTGCTCGTTTGATTTCTGTTTCCAATACGTGTTTTTTCACTGTGTTTGTTATATCACAATGCCGCCTGCGTGGCGTCCACATGCTGGGGTGTCGTTCTTAGAACGCGTTGGTCGAGTCGAGAACGAGAAATGGAAAACGGGAAAAAAAAACCTCCAACGTTTGTAGCAACAACAAAGGTCCTGCGTGCGCAGGAGGTGCAACTTGACCCCCACGCGAGCCAAGTCACTCTCGATGTCTACTTCGTCGACCGGGTACTCGGCCTCGATGGCCAGGTACCCGTACATGAAGTGGAGCTGGTCTTTGGCAGGGCCCCCGAAACTACAATAACGGATTTAGGCACGACGTGCCTAAATCCGTTCCTGCCCTTTCTCTTGTGAAATCGTCGATCGGAGCCGCGCGCCAGGACGCATGGCGAGTCTCTAATCGCTCGTCGAACATGCGACTCGAGGGGAACTAGGTGCCGCGCGCCACGCGGCTTCGCCGCGATCTGGCGGGTGGATCGGCAAAGCCTCCAAAAAGAAAAATCAGGCCCTCTAAGCCTCCTGCGTATGGAAGCACGGGGTCATTATCGGCCGCCTCCATGTTCGGGAGGGTGGCCCAGCCCTGCATCGACGGCGTCAGGGAAGAGACGACGCGACCGAGTACGGTGTCAGGGATCTGAACGTCCCAGTGCACAATGGCCATTAAAACCTTGCAGAACAAGTGCTTCTTCAGGGCGAGAGTGTGCTGGTACGCGACCATGTCCAGCTTCTCCTGGCCGCATGGCAGTTAGCAGCAGTGACGCCGGGTACTACACACATAGGAAACGCCACCCCCCTTCGACAGACGAAGCATCGACAAACACAAAAATCTGGATCGAGCCGGTCGAATTTAGGCAATCGGTTCTCCTCGACATGAAGCAGCGTCGCCCGACATTCGGTGCGCACGCGGCCGAGCTCGTCGCGGGGGCCGGCGTCAGCCATGCTGAAGGCCGACTGGGGGGATGGGGGGAGCGGCGGACTACTTCCCACGCGCGCTTTGTTTTTGCGCAGCTGCGGGCGATAGCAGTGGGGCGCCGAGGAGAGGGGGGGGAATCCGGACCCGAGCATGAAGCATTGCGTTTTAGCGGCGGTCGGCCCCCTGCGCGCCGCTGCGTCCCCCGAGAGAAAGAAACGATCGCTGCCTTGGCCATGCAAGGCAGCGCGGCCCTCCCCTGAAGGCGCCCGTCTCAGAATGCACCGGGCAGCAGCGCGCGGGCCCTCGAAATGTAGCTGCCCCCCCACGTGGTGTACCAGTCTGCCCAGTCGGGCACCCCCCCTCTCATCCCCTTCATCCTCCTCCTCCCCATCCCCCTTCTCATCGCCAGAATCATCATCATCATCATCATCATCATCATATACCTCATCATCATCATCATCACCTCGCCTCCTACTCCTGATCCTCATCGTTGTCGTCGTCATCATCATCAGTACTCATCCTCCTTATTTCCATGATCATCACCATCTTTGCCATCATCAGCGCTCTTCCTCCTCATCCTCCTCATCGTCACCATCATCATCATCATCATCATCATCATCATTTGTCCTCGTCCTCGTTCTCGTCATCGTCACCATCATCACCATCATCCCTCATCATCATCCGTCCTCCTCCTCACCATCCCCCTTCCCATCTTCATCATCATCATCATTGTCGTCATTATCATCACCATCATCGTCATAATCATTGCCATCATCATCATCATCATCATCATAATCATCATCTTCGTCACCCTCGTCATCCTCAGCATCAACATCATCATGGTCGCCCCTCATCATCGTCCTCTGCCTCGTCGTCACCATCATCATCATCATCATCATCATCATCGTCATCATCACCCCTTCTCATCATCGCCCTCGCCCTCGTCATCATCACCATCATCATCGTCGTCATCATCATCATCGTCATCATCGTTATCATAATCCTAATCGTCATCACCGTCGTCATCATCACCATCATCATCGTCTCTCCTCCTCCTCCTCCCCTTCCGCCTCTTCGCTTCCCAGGTCAGGACGGAGGGGGAGGAGCAGGGATAAGTAGCGGAGAGGAGGGGGCCGGTGCAATGAGAAATGATAAGAAGTCTCCACAATGAAAATCAATAAGAACACCCTACAATCGAAAACACTACGAAACCCATACAATCAAAAACAATAAGAAAGCCGTACGCTCAAAAACAATCAGAAACCCATACAATCAGAAACAATCAGAAACCTGTACAATCAAAAACAATAAGAAACCCATACAATCAAAAATAATAACAAGCCCATACAATCAAAAACAATAAGAAATCCGTACAATCAAAAAAAAAACAAATCCATACAATCAAAAACAATAAGAAACCCCTACAATCAAAAACAATAAGAAATCCGGACATTCAGAAACAATAATACACCCATACAATCAAAAACAATCAGAAAACGTCTTGGGTCCACGAACCCTGTGAGGGTACCAAAAAAAAAACCTGTGAGCGTACCCAAAAAACTAAAAACAATGGTTTTCGTGCCTTCAGGCTGCCTGGGCGGATCTGGGCTGGAGGGGCCCGGAGGAAGCCCGATGTATGGATTTCTTTTTGTTTTTGATTGTACGGATTTCTTATTGTTTTTGAGTGTATGGGTTTGTTATTGTTTTGATGTTACGGATGTCTTACTGTTATGAGAATGAAAATGTGGAGGAGGAGGATGAATACGAGAAGGAACATGCGGAGGGGGAGGAACAATATTATGATGGTGATGATGGTGATGATGATGATGATGATATTATTTTTTTTTTTTTTTTAAAAACAAAAAAAATTTTTTTTAAAAAAAAAAAAAAAAAAAAAAAAAAAAAAAAAAACAAAAAAAAAAAAAAAAAAAAAAAACAAAAAAAAAAAAAAAAAAAAAAAAAAAAAAAAAAAAAAAAACGCCATACTCTTAAATCTCACCCTTACGGAGGGGGGGGGGGAGGGAAAGAGGAGGATGACGGGGAGGAGGGGAGGAGGAGGAGGAGGAGGAGGAGGAGGAGGAGGAGAGAGGAGGAGGAGGAGGAGGAGGAGGAGAGGAGGAGGAGGAGGAGGGGAGGAGGGAGGAGGGAGGAGGGAGGAGGGGAGGGAGAGGGGGAGGGGGAGCGGGAGCGGGAGCTGGAGGAGGAGAGGAGAGAAAGTGGAGGAGGAGGAAGGAAGAGAGGAAGAGGAGGAAAAGGAAGAGGAAAAGGAGGAGGAAAAGGAGGAGCAAAAGGAGGGAGGAGGAGGACGAGGAGGAGGGAGGACGAGAGGAGGAGAGGAAGAGGAGGAGGAGGGGGAGGAGGAGGAGGAGGAGGAGGAGGAGGAGGAGGAGGAGGAGGAGGAAGAAGACTAAGAAGGAGGAGGCCTTTTCGCCGGACCACCTGGCGCGGGTGGGCCGCCTCGCCAGGAGACGGGGCAGCTGGCCTGGCTTCGCTCGGCGGGGCCAGCGCCGTAATCGGGCCAGACGAAAGGGTAGGATGCGGTCGGACCGAGGTGTAAGATCGAGCTCGGTTTTCGGGTGTCCGCGAAGTGCCCCCTGGCCCACGGTGCCCCCCAGGAGTTCCAAGGAGGCGCCCGCGGCCTCGTAGAGCACCCCTCGCGAGGCCCAGAGGGCCCAGAGGGGCTTCAAAATCCAGCGAAAAGCTGGGGGGGCCAGGGGCACCTCCAGCACCGAGGTACGGGCGGACCGAGGTATAAGACCGAGGTTTTCGAGGGTTCTCGTAGTTTCTTGGCGGCTTCTGCCCTCGAGATGCGTTCCAGCGGCTGCGCCTCGCCGAGGACGTTCCGGGGGTGACCGGACCGTCCCGAACGGCCATTGGAGAGCCGAGTTATGACCCAACAACCGAATTCCTCGGCGCGCCCAGGGGGTACGGCTGGACCGAGGTATAAAATTCGGGGTGGGGGGGTCTCCTAGGTTCGGGTTGTTTTGCAATCCTTCGGGTTTTGTTTGCAATCCTTCGTTCGGGTTTTTGTTGCAATCCTTCGGGTTTTTGTGCAATCCTAGGTTTTGTTGCAATCCTTTGCAATCCTTCGCTCACGTCGCCGAGGCGCCTGCGCACCCCGTGCGTGCATCACGAGCGGCGAACGTGCGCGTCTCCGCGCCCTCGCGGTCCGGAGTCCGGGGCGCGGTCCCACGGATGCGCGGTCGCACGGTCACGGCCCGCGCAGGACGTGCACGCGGAATGTGCGGCCCGTGTCCGCGAGGCCGCGGGCAGAAATGCTCGTGTCGAAAGCTGGGCGAAGGCTGCTAAAGCCGTGGCTGCTAAAACGGCCCTCTCGGAAGGAAAAAAACAACTTCCCGGAATGAGGCGCGGCACGCGAAGCAGTCAACGGGCTTCTTCCCGGCAGGACGGAGACAACTTCCCGGAGGTCGATTTTAGCAGCCACGGATTTAGAAGCCCTGGCCCGGCTTCCGATCGTGGTTCCCCCGGGGGTGATGCGGGTAGGGGTCGTGGAGGGAGAAGCGGTATAACTATCCAGCAGGGGAAAACACACACAGACACAGTTGATCGTCGATCCCGAGGAGAAGATGCGAACATGTGGGAAGTGGTGGGAAGACAGATATCCAGAAAATATATGACAATATGGGGAATCCTGTTAGTTGTGTTTATTTTGTTTGTGTTCATGGGCCCCTTCATATACGCGTGCAGAAGTTGTGAGCGCCAGGGGACTGGGACGGTTGTGCATCTCTTGTTAAGCTACTGTTGGGGTTGGCATGTCCCTCTACCGGAGGAATACCCAAGAATAGTAATTCATAATCTGGGGACGATGTTTCGATTCATTTTCGAACCTGTCTGGATATCTTTCAAGCTTTCAGGTTTTTCAATCAACAAATCCCTGCAGGAGGACATGCCCGACATAAGGCTTCTGGCCGAGAGCCTCGCCCGAGCAGCAGAACAATAATCTGACAGTCCAGAAAGTCAACGCACCGCGATGGGGGAAGGGCCGCCCGAGCAGTGTCCCGAAGCAAGCGCGCCGCCAAAATGGATTACAATCAACCCTCATAGTAAGCATGGGCACCCCTTCCCAGGGGTGCCCTGGCATCATTGTCTGTTCGGTCCATCGTTGGCCACTTTCGTTGGCCGCGCCCCGCTCGAAAAGCTTCGAAATGGACATACACGGCTTTTAAATCCTTATCGCGCATCCTTGCTATACGGGTTGGCTGCAGGCGGCTGCCCTCAAACTGCCTCGCCTAGACAGCCAAGAGCCCCCTGTGTGCAGCAAGGATGCAGACACCCCGCAGGACCTACCACATTTATATGTTTGAGGGTCACGCGTTTTATTGACCGGCGTTGAACAATGTACATTTGTCTGATTGGAGCACCTTGCTATTGTGTGTCCAACGCTCTGACTAAGAGCCCTGTGGCTGTTCGAAGTCCCGCGATCAAGCCGAATAAAAGGTTCCGACACAGCACAGCATTTTGCAGTGCGAACCAGTGCAGCCTGGCGGTCATAAAGGAAGAGATGCAGACACTCTCGCGTCGTACAAGAAAAAACACGGCGGACGATGTTGACATATTTCCGGCCTCTCTTGGAGTCTCGCCGGGCCCCAGGACGGTCACCAAATAGTTAAGGATGTAAAGCGAGCCTGGGGGAGAGGGACGGGACTTCCGGGAACCTTTTAGTACAGTCAACCCGCAGAGTAAGGATGGGCATTTTTCACAAGTCCACCTTGCATTTTGCCCTTTCTGCCCATCCTTGGTGACTTCCTCTAGCCAACCTCGTTGGAACAACGTTCACGCGGGCCTCCAAGGCCCCTTTGCATCCTCACCGCGCATCCTTCTAATACGCGTTGGCTTCACTGAAAGAAACAGAACGTCGGACCTCTGACAATGAGCACACAAGTTCGGATGCAACTCCTGGGAGGTCAAATTCTGATTTAGCCCTGGTCCGAGATCCCGGTTAATCCCGCTCAATCCCGCTTAATCCTGCTTGATCCCGCTTGATCCGGCTTGATCCCGCTTGATCCGAGGCCCGTTCCGGCGTGATAATTCCCAAATGGGGCTTAAGCTTCTTAAATCTTTCCGACGAAAATTTCCGAGTAGTTGCCTCTTAAGTTTGCATCCTCACCGCGCATCTTTCTGATACGCGTCGGCTGCACGGAAAGAAACAGAGCGTCGGACTTGTGGCAATGGACATGCAATTTCGAAGTCCAGCATAATCCCGTTCAATCCCGTCAAATCCCGCTTAATCCCACTTGATCCGAGGCCCACTCTGGCTTAACAGCCCCCCAGTGGGGCTTAATCCTTAATCCTTCCGACGAAAGCCTCCCAGTAGTTGCCTCCAAACACAAGTTGTCGGAGGTCCGCGCGGATGTCTTGGATCGTGGCTGGAGGCCCCCCGGGTGCGCGGAGTGCGCCCCCGAGAAGCCTGCGCAGGGCCCTCCCACAAGCGCCGCCAGCGGCGCCGCCCCGGCGGGCCCCTGCGGGCCTGCGCAGGCTTCCTGGGGTCTGCGCGGCGCGGCCGTTCCCTTCTCCTCCTCCTCCTCCTCCTCCTCCTCCTCCTCCTCCTCCTCCTCCTCCCTCCTCCCTCCTCCCTCCTCCTTCCTCCTTCCTCCTTCCTCCTTCCTCCTTCCTCCTCCTCCTCCCTCCTCCTCATGTTTCGACCCTTCACCCTTTGACCGTTCCCTCTTCCTTTTCCCCTCTCCTGCACGCCGGTCAATTTGCTTTTCGGTGCCCCCGTTTAGCCCGACGCCGGTACGGATAGCCTCCGCCTCGCCGCCGACGAGAAACATTGTCCATGCAGCTTTCTCATCCTTCGATCGCCTACACGTGAGAGTGACCTCCCGCCCGACGGACCTTCGGTGCGGGCACACTGGGCGCGAAGCAGGGGGGGGGACAAGACGTGGGGGGGGGCGGTGAGGGCTGCAGACGAGGGGCCTGCAAGGCCACTGCAGGGGCCTTTTCTAGGGCCCCAGAGGCGGCCTCAAGGGCCCGAGAAGGGCACCTTCCTTCCCCGTCCTGTATCGCCCCCCTTCCCCCCCACGCTACTTCGCGCCCAAGGCACAGCGGGGTCCCAGATGGCTGGAGTGCGATGGGAGCACAGCGACGGGCGCGCTCGCGCTTCGCCTCCCCGCGCACCCGAGCGCGGCGCACGACAGGTCACTCCTTGCCTGGAGTCACTCTTGCGTGTGGCCGACTCGATCTAGGCATCCCAGATGGTGTCGAAGTAGGTGGGTCGGACGATCGCGCCGCATCGCCGATGCGTCGACGATGCGGGTCGATGTGGAGACCGTGCTTCCCCACGCCGACGGCGCCGATGCGTCGCCGATGTCGCTGATGCATCGCCGATGCATCGGTGATGCATCGGCGATGCATTGGCGATGCGGTGCGATCTTCCGACCCCACCTGCTCGGCTTTCATCTAGGAGGCTTCTGCTCGAGGTCAGGCCGCCGCTGCAGGCAGCCGAGGGCCACCACAGGCTGACCGTGCGGGCGCGCCTGCACGGCAGGGAGGTCTGGCGCAGCACCTACGACTTCGACGCGGAGGCGGGGCCGGCGCCGGCCCGCGCTTGCAGCCCAGGCGACGTAGTGAAGGCCAGGTGGGCGGGCGACGGGCGCGTCGCCGGCGCGGTGGTGCTGAGCGCCCACCGCGGCGTGGCCGTTGTGCGGTGGCGCGATGACGACCACACGCACCGGGTCGTGCCGTGGAGGAGCTCGGGCGGCTGCACGTAAGAGGGCCCTACGCCCGGGTGACCTCTGGTGCGAGGCCACATGGGGCCCCCAGCATTGGCCTGCGCGCTTGGAACTGGCCCTTTCGCGGCTCTCGACAGGCGCGCGCCAGTTGTCATTCTCTTGCCCAGGGTCATTCTTGCGTATGGGCTCCCGCGGGCCCAGGCGGCCCAACGATGTCCAATTTGGCCCGAAGATCGCCCGAACCTTTCCCGAGAGGGAGGGAGCGGGGAGGAGGAGGAGGACGAGGAGGAGGAGGACGAGGAGGAGGAGGAGGAGGAGGAGGAGGAAGAGGAGAACAAGGACGAGGAGGAGGAGGAGGAGAGGGTACCTTCGCATGGGGTTCGCCTGTTTTGCCTCCCGGGAGGCGCTCGTCGCCACCGGCTGGACCCGCCTCGAGAAATTTTAGTCGGAGCGCACCCGGGGAGAAGCCTGGGGAGTAGCGACATCGGGTTGGGCGGACGGCAACAGGGGAACAACACACGCTATGTTGTAGGCGCGGCTGTTCCCTTCCGCTGAAGCCGCGATGCTTGCGTCGCGCCTGTCGGCCTTTCGCTGGCGGCCACGCGTCGGCGCTACTCAGCGGCGCCGCCGCCGTGTGTTTCCATTTGGCTGGCCTCCCCCCACGATTGGACCGAGCAGAAGAACAATTGTTTGAATCACGCGCGCCCTGTTATTTTGGGTGTGTATATATATATATAGAGAGAGAGAGAGAGAGAAGAAAAAGTATGAATCCTGACACTGCACGTGGTTGTTGAATCACACGCGCCTTTCTGTTTGTAGTTGAACAAAAAACATGCTGAGACTACACTTGATCAGGGGAATCGAGAACTGCAGCCCCCAGGTGCCTCCCAGCCTCCTCCTGACGGCCTCCGAAGGCCTCGCGCGGCGCGCGCGAGTGCGATCGCCTTGTCGTGGGCCGCGTCCAGCAGCCGCTGGGCCTTCCCATGCACCCACGTCCGATCGGTGCGCTCTGGCCCCCCCCAGGAGCATGACCACCACCGACGGATCGCCGTGCCCCCTGCCAGAAGAGCCCTGGCCTCGGGCAGGTCCTGGCGCGGGCGCCGCCGCCGCCGGCGCGGCCCAGGCTTGGTGGCGGGACCTCGCCCGGCGCACGATGCACGTGGACGAGGTTTGGGCCTGTCAGGGGGTCCGAAGTGGTCTTCAGTCGTGGTTCGGGTCAGCAGGAGGAAGCGCGGGCACGTTCGCAGCGGCGCTCGGCCAGGGGAAAGCTTTATGCCCTCGTCGGCCTGCGGGGGCCGTCCTCGGGCCCCGGGACCGGCAGAAACAAATCTGGCTCGAGACGCTGCGCCAGATGGACCCTGGGATGGGTCTTGGGACCGTTTTTGGGCAGATTTGGTTTCATCCCCTCTCCTGACCGATTTGTCGTGGTCCCAGCCAGTTCAGACCCCGTGGCCGCCTCCAAGACGAGGTGTCGTTCCTGGTGCCGCACGGGGACAATGGCTGGCTGCTCGGGGACGTGCAGGTCGCCGCCACCAGGTTGGAGACGGATAAAATTAGTCGGTTGCGCTGACATTCACGCACAAGTTTCCCGCCTGAGGCCGCGCGTGAACTGTCTTTTCCACGCGGTGTGACACGCCGGCGGCCCGCGAATGCTTTCTCGCGTGAGACCCGTTTTTTGTTCCGTCGTCAAGGTGGCTGCCCGACGAGGCGACCTCGTCGCCAGAGGCGGACTCCACGACGTACGTGGTGCAGGTGCTCCCGGGCTCGTTCACAGTCATTTCGGAGGTGTCCCTGGCGGCCGTCGTGTATCACGCCGACGAGATGTTGGATCTGGGCCTGGAGCTCCGACAGAAGGCCCCAGCCCGAAGCGAACGCGTCCGCGACGGGCCCTTTGCGGAAAAGACCGCGCAGACGGCTCGAAGATAACCTTCAGTCGGGCATGTCCCTCGACACAGGAGGAATATTCAAGAATTGCCCAAAAATAGACAGAGGAAGATTGTCCTATTATTTTTCGTTTATTTTTGATCACGTGTTGACTCCTTTTTTTCTGTCTTCAAGAATCCGCCTGTTGGACGACATGCCCGACCCACACAGACCACACAGACTGCCTGAAGATGACCCTCGGAGGTCCGCCCGGACCCCCTTGGGTCGGCGCTGGACCCCCCTCGCCGCACAGTCAAAGCTCGGATGCGTCCTCGGGGTGCCCTGGCGCGCCTGCCTCTGCGGCCCGTCCTTCGCGGCCCCCTCTCACCACCCACCAAACCACCCCAACCCAACCCGAAGGCTCACGTTTCCTCGATTTCCAGTGGGGGGGGGGGTCGGGAAACATCGAAAAAACATATGTGGAACCCACCCTTACCCCCCCAACCCGAAATTCGGGTCTTCGGGTTGGGTTGGGGTGGTCTGGTAGGTAGTCACCCTCGGACCCCCCCTCACCGCACAGCCAAAGGTCGGAGTCGGGACGCGCGCGTGCGTCCTCCGGGTGCCCCGGCGTGCTCGCCTCATGCGGCCTGTCCTTCACGGCGTGCACGGGCCGGCCCTTGGAAGGTGCCGGCGGCCCTCCGCGCCACCAGGGTGCCCACGTCGGCGTCCCAGGCTCTGGCGGTCTTGCCGCCCGTCCTTGCTATGTGGATTCCGACGGTGCACGTGGCGGCGCCTCCAGCGCCACCGCGCGCAGGGGTGCGCGGGGGGGGTGTCCAGCGCCGGCCCAAGAAATCCGCGCGCGCCGCCGGGCTATCGGTCACGCCTGCAGCGATGTCCCTGAGCAGCACTCGGCGGCGAGCGAGGGGGGAAGTGAGAAGGAGAAGTCCTTCTCTGAAGGCGGCGCGGCTTCTCGGAAGCCCTCCGGCCTTCTGAGGAGGCTTCCGCGTCTTCGGGGAAGGCCTGGGCGACACTTCTCGAAAGGCCAGGAGACGTTCCAGCCTCATGAGAATGTTTTTTTCTTCTTCTCGCTTCCCGAAACAAACCAGACGTTTTATGGCGATCAGCCCGCCCCCTCAACGGCACCTTCTCGAGCTCTGTGCGAGCCCAGATCTTGTGTTAAGTCGGGCGTGTCCCTCTACAGGAGGAAGATTCCAAAATAGCCCAAAAATATTCTGGGGATGATGTTTTGGACTTTTTTTGTTGCCAATTGCTGTGATGATTTTGTGAGTTGTTGTTCCGACTATTTCGTAATTCCCGTCCCAAATCCGTATGTCGGGGGCACGCCCGACCTAAGTCTCTTCGGCATCGCTCGGACGTGTGCATTTTTCCTTCGGCGAGGACCATCGAGGAGCATCCCTGATCATTTTGTTCACCACCTACCAGACCACCCCAACCCAACCCGAAGGCCTCAATTTGCCCTCCATTTCCAGTGGGGGGGGGGTCGGGGAACGTTAAAAAAACACATGGAACCCGTACCCCCCCCAACCCGAAATTCGGGTCAAATTCGGGTCTTCGGGTTGGGTTGGGGTGGTTTGGTAGGTAGTCATTTGTGAAACAACCACGCACGAAACCGAAACGAAACACAGGGAATGGACGTCCGAGCGATGGCCAGTCTCGCGGAGGGCGCCGCCCTCCAGCTGGGCTGGGAGGCGCACGTCCGCCCGGGCCGGGGGCCTCATGTAGGCAGGGGTCAAGGCCTTGAGGGCTCCTCCTCCTCCTCCTCCTCCTCCTCCTCCTCCTCCTCCTCCTCCTCCTCCTCCTCCTCCTCCTCCTCCTCCTCCCCCCTCCTCCTCCCTCCTCCTCCTCCTCCTCCTCCTCCTCCCCCCTCCTCCTCCCTCCTCCTCCTCCTCCCCCCTCCTCCTCCTCCTCCTCGAGGGGGGGCGGCAGGCTCCGGGGCTCCAGGGGCTCGAGGTTCTCGGACGGGCCCGTCGGCTCTCGCCAGGCTCTGTGATCGTGTTCTTTATCCGTTGTTTTGCCGATCGGCGCGGGCCCCCCAAACCGAACCCTCCCCCCCCTCGCATGGAGCAGATCTTGGCCGTTTTTGGGCGCCTGCTTCTGGCGGGCGGGGTCTCCCCCAGAGGCAGCACTCTGGCAAACAGTCGCATGAAGCAGAGGTTTGGGGCTAGACGGACAAAGAGCAGAAATGATCGGAGGGGTAGCGTCAGGACGTGTTGTCCGCCACTGGGACAAGAAAACGCACAAGCGTGCACTGTTGGAGGTCGGCGCGGACTCTTCGGGCTGGCGCTGGATGCCCCCCTCTGGCATCGCCCTTCCGGCTGCTGTGAACACTTACCGTGCCAGGCGCCAGGCTTCACAGTTCGCTCCTCCTTTGCGACATACCGCTGATCGAGGCTTTCTCGACGGATCACAGCCATACGTCTCATGCCAGCGTCCAAGCACCACCGCCCTCGTCTCACCAGGCGCTCGGCGCGCAACGAAGGCGCCGCCAAAGGGGACGAGGCGGTGGAGGGCCAGGTTCAACGAATGGAGGGAGGCCGTCGCGGGCCCCCGAAGGTTTCTGCAGAGGCCTTCCGAGGGCCTCGGCGGAGGCCCCAGAGATCCGACGATGTCTTTGATCTGGTTCGCCCCACCACTCGCTGACCGGCGTCTGAGATTGTCTTGGCGCCCATGGGCTGAAAATCGTTCGCTGCGCGGCCGAAGCCCCCCCGGGGTCAGTGCTCCGACCTGGGCCCAGGCCCAGTTCGAGAGGAAGCGCCGGGATCGACAAGTCTGCATCCTCGCAGATCTGGGGCCCGAGGCCGGCGGACCCTCGCTTTAGGCCCCGCTCGAATAGCGCTCAAGCGCTTTGGGAAGGTCCCAGAGCTCTCTTAGAACGGCCGCGGCACCCGCTGCGTAACCAAGGCCCGCCGCTTTTCAGAGATCCCCGGTGTATCCTCGGCCGAGTTTATCTTCATTTACCCTTCCATTCGGTTGTGTTCCTGAGTTATAATTTTGTTCCAGGAATTCGGCCACGACGACTCGTTTGCGCGGGACACACTACAGTGCTCGGGAGGAGCAATTCGGAGGGAGGATGAGGGAGCAGGAAGGCGGGAAGGGAAGTGAGGAAGACAAACGGGGAGGGAAGTGGCGGAGGAGCAGGCAGGAGAGTACGGGGGGGTGGGGGGGGGGAGGAGGGAGCTGGGGGGGGATGGGGGGAGAGGGGGGGAAGGGTGGAGGAACGAAAAGGAGGGTGGACGAGGAGGATGGGGAGGAGGAGGAGGAGGAGGAGGGTGGACGAGGAGGAGGGGGAGGAGGAGGAGGAGGAGGAGGAGGAGGAGGAGGAGGAGGAGGAGGAGGAGGACGCCGCGGAGGCAGGCGGAGGGAGGAAGGAGGCCTTCGCCTCGGGACGCCCCTCGCTGCTGGGGGCCCCCCGGGCGGCCAGGGCCCCGGCGAGCGCGGCCGCGCGGGCGGCACGGAGCCGGGCGGGGCGGCCGCCCCCGCGGGGCACGCGAGCGCGAGCCGCAGCGTGGAGGGCGTGCACCAGGCGCTCCCGCGGGGAGCGGCCGAAGCGCTCCTCCCCCTCCTCCTCCTCCTCTCCTCCTCCTCCTCCTCCTCCTCCTCCTCCTCCCTCCCTCCTCCTCCTCCTCCTCCTCCTCCTCCTCCTCCTCCTGTCGGGAGCCTTGGGGTGGGGGTCCATGCAAGCGGGGGTCAGCCAGGGCGCTGGTTCTTCAAAGAACATACAGGGCCGGGGGCGCAGACCGGCCCGCCCGGCACCTCCAGCGACGGCCACGACGACGACGACGACGACGACGATGCCAAGATGCAGAGACGCAAGGACGCAAGGACGCAAAAAGTCGCAGAGACGCAGAGGCGCAAGCACGAAAAGCGACGACGACGACGACGACGACGACGACGACGACGACGATGCGACGACGATGCGACGACGACGACGACGACGACGACGACGACGACGACGACGACGACGACGACGACGACGACGACGACGACTACGACACGCTCCCTCGCTTCCCTCCTTCCGCGTTCCACTCCCTCCCTCCGCCGCTCCCTTCAGGCCTCCCCCCCCATTTTCGCTTCCCCCCCTTCCCCCCCCCCGCCAGGCCCCCCCCCGTCGCCCACGCCCCACTTCTCCCCGCTGCGGCAGAACCGCGACAGGCGCTTTTTGGCTGCGTTGGACCTCCAGGGAAGGGGGGGGGGGCTTTCCCTTGGCATCGCTCGGACGCGTGCGCTTTTGTTGCTGCCAGGGCCATCGAGGGTCATCTTGGATCGTCTTGCGGAACAGGTGCGCGCACGGAGCCGACAAATGCACGAGGAATGTCCGAGCGAAGCTTCCGCGACCTCTCCGCGCGTGCGCCCGACCCTCCTGGAAGGTATATTCTCACGGCACTTCTCCCCCCGCCGCCCCGTCGCAGGTGCTGCGGGCGTTGATGGACCCGGGTGGCGGCCCGCCCCTGAGGCTGCCTCCGCACCTGCAGCCCGACGAGCTCCTGGCAGACGTCGAGCGCCTCGTGAAGTCTCTGGACGTTGCGGGCCTGGAGGACGTCCCATTCGAAGAAGCAGAATCGCCATGACCATACACTTTTTGCGCTCCGCGCGGAGTTCTTGGATCCGCGCTGGGCGCCCCCTGGCGGCGCCTCCGGCGCCGCCCCTGGCGCGCTCGGCGCGCCGGGGAGGGGGGTCTGGCGCGGATCCCAGAAATCCCCGCGGAACGCCACAAGTTTATGTTTATGCAGTTTATTTCTGCCTCTATCCCTCGTCCTCCCCCCCTCGTCGTCATCGTCATCCCTCCTCGTCCTCGTTCGCCCTCCCCTGCCTCCTGTGCCTCCCCTCTGCCCCTGTCCTGCCTCCCCGTCGTCCTCCCGCTCCGCCGTCGGCCTGCCTCGTCCTCGTCCGCCCCCTCCTTCCTTGTCCTACCCCCTCTCCTCCTCGGTTCCTCCGTCGTGCCTTCGCCTCGTCCCTCCTCCTTCCCCCTCCTTCTTCCTCTTGCTTCTTGCTGTTCCTCCTTCTCTCACGCTTTGGCCACTCCAGATTTCGTAACAAAGGGAAGGGGGTCTCATTTCGGGGGGGGTCTCTTCCAGGCTATATTGGAGGGCCTGGGGGGGTCTGGGGACGATGTTTTGGAGGGTTCTCCCACGGGGGAGGTCTGAAATGGCTTGTCTTGGAGGGTCCAGACCCCCTCCCTTTTATTACGAAATCTGGAGTACTTGCGTGCAGCCTGGCAGCTGTTTCACGTACAAATCCCCCTCATCCATTCCCTGTTCATGATCTCTCTGATTTTCCCTCCTCCTCCCCAATGTCCGATCCTCCATAAATCGTTCCTCCTGGTCATCGACTCCCTCCTCCTTCTCCTGTTTCGCTCGATCCTGCCTTCATATATATATATATATATATATATATATATATATTGTTTTTGCTTGTGACCTCTTACCGGAATTGAGTTTCATCCTCATCCGGCTCCTGCATATTGATAGTCCTTTCTTTGGTTGTATGTCTCCTGCTCTCCGTCATATTCCTACTCCTCAACCTGCTCTATCTCGCTATTTCTCCATCTGCCCCTCTCCCTCAGTCCTCCCTCCCAGAGGTTGACGTATTCCACCATGAGACCGTGTTTGTCTCAATCAAATGCGTCCTTGTGCAACCTCGCAAAAGCATCATATTTAGGAGCTCTGTCTCGGACGGGCTACTGCACAGCAATATCCATTTTCCACTACAACATGCTTCGCTTGCAATCACGGACTTTTCTTGATCTGACCGAGCAGGTTTGTTTACAGCCGAGAGGCGCTTCTTATTAGCACGAGGTGCCTCCCTACAACCAAGACGCGCCTCCTTACAACCAAGAAGGCTGCTTTACAAACAGGAGGATGTCCGATGATTCAGAACAGCATTTTAACGCCACCTAGGGGCATATGAACGCCGTCAAGGGACCTTTCTCCGGCGTCCGGAGGCTTTTGACGGCCGTGAAGAGGCTTTGGAACGCCGTCCAAGGTGTGAGCCTCATTTGACCGATGGTTGTCAGGAGAAACTGCTGGCAGACTGAGGCCGCTGTGGTGACGACTAGTTCTTGTCCGTTGCGAGAGATCCACCGAGCGCGGTCCACCACTTGCAAAGTGCCTACTCGCAAACGCCAGACAAACACATATGTGCCTCGAAGCACTGTATCGCAAATCTCCCGCGACGAATCCTGGCCATTTGCCAGTAGTTACTTTGCGGGTCGTGGAGCGCGCTTGTCCAGAGATAATGGTGTCTTGCTTGGATTCTGGGGTGGGGAGGCTCTGCTTGCGTTTCGCAGCCAGACTCTCACGGGCGTCTGGCGGGCTGGACTGGGGCTGCTCTGGGCGTCTGGTGGGCCTCTGCCGGGCTTGCACGGAGCTGGGTCGGCCTCTGTTTGCTTCCTCCGGGGCCCTCTTGGAAACATTCACCCGCGGGGCCGGGCAACGCGGCACATATATCGAAGACGCCTACGGCGAACCACCGCCGCCCCCTGCCTTTTTGGAAGCGCCTATGTGGCCGAACGTTGAGGCCAGACCTGCTAAGCCATCGGACCATGTGTTCCCCGAATTGGTTTGGAAAGCCTTCGGGGAACACGTCGGCATCTTGAAGGTCATCTTGGCCGTCTTGGAGGCCTCCTGGGCGATCTTTCGGCGATCTTTGGGGGCTCTTGCGCCATCTCGGGCCGTCGGAAGGCCGAAAGAAGGAAATGTCAAAATCCACCAAAAACCTCTGGAACATCCATGTTTTTGGCCTCTTCTGGCCTTCCTGGAGGCCCTCTTGGGGGCCTCTTGGGCCGTCTTGGGCCAGCTTCGAGCCAACTTCGGCCATCTTGGTGGGTTCCTGGTACGTCTGACGACGTTGGGAGCCGTCTTGGGGGCCTTTCTGGGCCAACGGGGGACCCTCTTGGGGCGCTTCGGGGCCGTCTTGGAGGCCATCTTGGGCGTCTTGGAGGCGATCTTGGGCGTGTTGGAGGCCTCTTGGGCCGTCTTGGGGCCCTCTTGGGGCCATCTTGGAGGCCACTTGGAACCTCTTGGGGGTTTCTTGGGCGATCTTGGGAGCCTCTTGGGCCGTCTTGAGCCGTCGGAATGCCGAGAAGAAGCAAATTCCCAAATCCTTCTAAAACCTAAGGAAAATCAATGATTTGGGCCTCTTCGGGCCCTCCTGGAGGACCTCTTGGAGGCCTCTTGGGCCGTCTTGGAGGCTTCTTGGGCGAACTTGGAGGTATCTTGGACCCTCTTGGGCCGTCTCGGAGGCCGTCTTGGACCACCTTACGTGGACTTGGAGGCCATCTTGGAGGCCATCCTTGGCCAACGTGACCATCTTGGAGGCCATGTTGGGCCGTCTTGGAGGAAGAATTGGGATTGGGCGATGGCGCGTGCGTCTTACGGGTCTTGGGGGGCGGCCGGCGGGACGGGCCGAAGCGCCAGGGGGAGTTCTTTTGGAAAAAGAACCAAGACCAAAACCGAGAGGGTCCAGCACGCCAGGCACCCCTGCGATGAATCGACAGGGGGCGGCGGATCGAAGACGCCTACGGCGAATCACCGCCGCCCCCTGCCTTTTTGGAAGCGCCTATGTGGCCGAACGTTGAGGCCAGACCTGCCAAGCTATCGGACCACGTGTTCCCCGAATCGGTTTGGAAAGCCTTCGGGGAACACGTGGGCATCTTGAAGGTCATCTTGGCCGTCTTGGAGGCCTCTTGGGCAAGCTTTGGGCGATCTTTGGGGCTTTTTGGGCCGTCTCGGGCCAGCTTCGAGCCAACTTCGGCCATCTTGGTGGGTTCCTGGCACGTCTGAAGCCGTCGGAAGCCGTTTGGGGGGCCTCTATGGGCCGACTTGGGGCCCGCTTGGAATGCTCCAGGGCCGTCTTGGAGGCCATCTTGGGCGTCTGGAGGCCATCTTGGGCGTGTTGGAGGCCTCTTGGGCCCTCTTGGGGCCCTCTAGGGGCCATCTTGGAGGCCACTTGGGCCATCATGGGGCTCTCTTGGGGGCCTCTTGGGCGATCTTGGGGGCTTCTTGGGCCGTCTTGAGCCGTCGGAGAGCCGAAAAGGCGCAAATGCCAAAATCCTTCAAAAACCAATGGAAAATCAATGATTTTGGCCTCTTCGGACTCTCCTGGAGGACCTCTTGGAGGCCTCTTGGGCCGTCTGGGAGGCCTCTGGGGGGCCTCTTGGGCCGTCTTGGGCCGTCTTGGACTCTCTTGGGCCGTTTTGGAGGCCGTCTTGGACCATCTCGGGCGGACTTGGAGGCCATCTTGGGCCATCTTCGCGATTTTTTGAGGATGCCCCGAGCGAAACGGCCGTTTTTGGGCAGTGAGAGATGGGTTTTGGGCAATGCGCGGGTGGCCGGCGGGACGAGCACGATGACTGTACAGTCGGCCTTGATTAGTAGGTCGACACTGCCAAGTCAAGGGTACCCGTGTGTCCTGTCTTTAGAGGCCCGTGCTTTCTAAATTCCTGTGGCAACGTAGCCCTCCGAAGGATCTTGTGTTCTCTCCAATCAAGCCCGACTGTAGGGGGTGGGGGGCAGGCGTCTTAAAAAGCACCCCTCTGTTTCTTGGAAGGCGCGTGCCTTATCTACAGGGGTAAGGCCGGCGCCTTCTGAGGAGCAGCCTCCTCCTCAGAAGCCGTCCCCCCTTATCCCACTACCCTATGGCGCGCGCCGCCAACTGGTAGTAAGGATGAACGGCTTTCCAAGGTTACCCTTGCATCCTTCCCTTTCGGCCCTCCGGTCGCGCCACGCTCGAAGAGTATCGGCATCGCCTTCCAAGGCCCTTGCATCCTTACCGCGCTTCCTGGCTATGTTTGAACTGTATTCTGCTGGCCCCCCCCCCGCAGGCTGTGGCCCCGGCGGCCTGCAAATTCCGACGGCTGCTCGGGTGGAGGGCAGAACCTCACTGACTCCGGGGCTCTCGCGTTGGCGCCGCGCACGGCCAATTTGAGTCATCCCAGCACGCGCACGGATGGTGGGCGGTTCTTCTTCGGAACTGGTTTCTCGTTTTGCCGCCACGAGTTTGCCAATTGAGCCGGCAAGTGTCGAAACATCCTACGCGTATTGCATTAACCTTCCTCTTGGTCGTCGTCGTCGTCGTCGTCGTCGTCGTCGTCATCCTCTGCCTCCTTAAGATATGTTGATTGCACCTCGAGCCAAAACCAGATTTCCTCGTGTTTGCAACCGCGCTTCAGAGAGGGAATTGCGCTCCATGTATGGTGCCACGGAGATGTTGGACGGTAGGACGTCATTGTCATTTCGGTATTTGTTTGATTTGATACGGAAAGGAATTCCCCAGCTATAAAACGATCTTCCAGGGATATATGCGGTGGATGCAGCCCGATTTGTTTGGTTCTCAGTCCCGCTCTAGTTGTGAAACAGACCCCGCGCTTCCCTCCCTCCCTCCCCACTCCGCCCCTGGCACCGAATCCTCCTCCATCCTGTGTTCCTACTCCTGCGCCTTCCGCCCCACTCCCTTCGAGGGCGGCCAAGAGGGGGGTGATGTCTAGGGTGGGGTGGGGGGGTATATCATGGCCGGGGCCACGATATCTCTCCAGATCTCATGGCCCCTCTTCTTCTTCTTCTTCCAAACCTCCCTTGGCCCCCTCCTGGGCCGCGCACGTGCCTCGGGCCATGATTTGCGAACCCCCCTCTTGGACGCTCCCCTCCTTGGACGCCCGGCATTCCTGGCCATGATCGTTGTAATCTTGGACGTCCCTCCGTTGCTCGCGTTCGGCGTCGTGGACCTGGCGGGAGGGCTGATCTGCGCAAGCAGTTGAAAATCAGCGACGCTGTCGGACAGCTCGATACTCGACACTCCTGCGCCGCCCTCCAGGAGGAGGCTGCCTCGTCCACCGAGCAGACGGAAGACCCCGTGAAGAGGTACGGCCACTTCGAGGCGCTCTTCACCTACAACTGGGACCGTCAGACTGCTAGGTTTTCGGCTGCCTTTCACATTCTAGGTTTATCGGCGATTTTCGATTGTGCTTGGTTGTTCCCGTCGGCTCTCGGAGGGGAGCCTCCGCGTCGCAGTTTGTCGGCGAGTTTGTTAAGTTCTACTTTCTAGCTGCCTCCAGCATTTCCGCCACTGTGCCAGCGCAGCGAAGGCAATGAATGGGGGCTTGCTGGGGGGGGCCTCTTGGGGCAGAAGGCTCGCATTCTTGGCTCGTGTCCCCACTCTTAGGCCTTTCTTGGGGCCCTCTCGGACCGTCGTGGGCGCCTCTTGGGCCGTCTTGGAGCCGTTTTGGGCTTTTTGGGACCCCTTGAGCCGTCTCGGAGGAGTCTTGGTGGCCGCTTGGGCCGTCTTGGAGCGAGAACCTAAACAAAAGATAACAAATAATGGAACATCAATGTTGTTGCCTGTTCTCGGGATCCTCCAGGGGACCTCTTGAGGGCCTCTTTTAGCCCTCTTGGGGCAGAAGGCTTGAATTGTCGGTTCGTGTTCACCCTCTAGGGCTCTTCTTAGGGCCCTCTTGGGGCCCTCGTGGGCATTCTGGGACGCCTATTCGGCCGTCTTGGAGCCCCCATTGAGCCGTCTTGAGGCACTCTTGGGTCGTCTTGGTGCAGTCCCGGTGGCCTATTGGTTTCTTTGGGGACTCGGAACTTCGAGAAGGCAAACAACAGGACAGGAAGTATTGGAATACCAACGGAACATCAATGATTTGGCCTTCGGCTGTGGGGGCTCCCTTGGGACGCCTCGACGGCCTCGTGGACCGTCCAGAAGCCATCTTAGGACCATCTTTAGGCAAGTGTGGCCCGTCGTTGAAGCAATCTTGGGCAGTCTTGGAGACATCTGGGCCCCGAGAGCGCGAACATGTCATACACAACGAGAGTTGTTGCCCGCGCAGGGCTGGAAACATGCATGCAACCGCAATCACACAATTCGTCACCAACCTATCGTGTGTGTGTGTGTGTGTTGAAATCATGACGCGACGTAGCCGCGCTACTCTTTGGCCACCTCCGGGGGAGAGAGGGAAGTAGTACTCGTGTTGTGCCACTGTGGAGGCAGAAAGGGGGGGAGGGCCGAAAGGAGGAGGGGAAGGAGACGGGGGAGACGAGGAAAAGGAGGGCAGGGAAGAGGAGCGGTGCCGTGAGAGAGGAGAAGGACGAGGTGCTGCTATTGCTATGTTCGGGGAGGAGGGGCAGCAGCACCGGCGCAAGGACTGGCAGGTGCGAGTGGACGCACTGGAGCTCACTTACGAGAGTTGGCGGCGGAGCGCGGCGGCCCAGCGGGAGGCTCAAGGCGCCCCCCCGCTCCGTCCTCCTCCTCCTTCCTCCTCCTCCTCCTCCTCCTCCTCCTCCTCCTCCTCCTCCCCTCTCCTCCTCATTTTTCCTCCTCCTCATCCTCCTCCTGCTCCTCCTCCTCCTCATCCCTCCTCCTTCTCCTCATCCTCCTAGACGGAAGGAGAGGAGGAGGAGGAGAAAGAGGAGTAATATCAATGCGGGATGGAGGGAGGTGGAAGAGGGGGAGGAGCATGAGGAGGAGGAGGAGGAGGAGGAGGAACAACAGCAGGAGGAACAGACAGGGGGGGGCACAATAGTGAAAAGGAGGATGCGGAGAAGGAGGAAGAGGAGGAGGTGGAGAAGGAGGAGGAGGAGGAGGAGGAGGCGCGGGGTAAACTAAGGAAAAGGTTAGAATTCAAGGGGGATGAGAGGAATACGAGGACGAGAGTAGATAGCATAAAATATACATAGGAGGAGTGGAGGTGGAGGCGGGAAAGGAGGAGAACATTTTCTTCGCGACCGCGGAGAGACCGAACAAATCGCGGCGCTCCTTTTTTGCCTGGACGACCACACTGGCGTCACGCAGTCCGGGTCTCGCCGACTGCTCCCTGACCAGGGAGTCGCCAACGAGCCCGCATTGTCCTCTTTTGCCGGCCGCCTGCGACCACAACACGGCCATCTTTTGACCCTAAGGGTCTTCAGCATGCTGGATCCTTGTCGGTTGAGGGCGGACGCATTGCAGTCTCAGCGCATTTTGCCTTTCCTCCCCCCTCCTCTGCTCCTCTCCCTCGTTCCCTCCCTCTTCCCGCTTCCGCCTCTAAGTTGATAGGATTCCGGGGGTGTGTTCTATCAGCAACGCCGCCGAATGAGTTCTAACATTGTTTTACTTTAGTGTGCGCTGTGAGTTTTTCTTCATTGCGCGGTTGTGTGAAGCCTCATTATAGAAGTGGCCGACGGGACCATACGGGAATTGATGCTCACACAGCGCTAATAGTATTTCGTCTTATCCGAATAAGACTGCTCTAGTTTTTTCCTCGTGCTAATGGTTCTGCCTCGATGCACCGATTCCGTGACGCATGCGTTTTCTTCATTGTGCGAGTCTAGAGTTTTGCATCGGGCCCGGCTGGTTGTGTTAGGCTGCGTGCGACAGACAGTCGGATTGGAGAGAGGTGATGATTTGCGAGTTCCCTGATGTTTCTCATGTCCCCCCTCTCCAAAAGATTGCGCTGGCTCCTTTTTTATAAAAGAAAGCACTTGCGTCACGCAGCAGGGATTGGAAGATGAAAGTGGACGAGTATAAGAAAATGGGGCAGCAGTGGGATAGAGGGGAGTGTGGTGTGCGGAGGAGGCAAGGGGCAGCCCTGCGTCTTTTGCCGACGACAGCGACATAAACGACGACGGTGACGACGACGGCGACGTCGACGACGACCTGCCTAAAGGCGCCTTCTTAGACGGCCAGCCCTGGACCGGGTCTTTCGGAGACTTCGGAAGGCTGCTGGAGGCCCTGAAAAGAGTTTCAACACAAGGCAATCTTTGCATTCTCGAACCTTCGAGCCTCAATCCTCGTAGAGGAGATGGAGCGCAGAGGTCTGGAAGGCGCCTTGGGGCTGCGCGGAGTTGGACTCCACGCCGACGGCGACGACCACGACGACGGCGACGTCGACTGCAGCGGCGTCTGCGGCCGCTGGCGGAAAAGGCGCCTTCTTCGAGGGGCAGCGCTGGGCCGGGTCCTACCTGTGCACTCAGGGGCCGACGCAGCTGCGCCTCGAGGTGACGAGCGTCACCAGCGTTGAGGGCCAGGACGCCGACGCCGCCGCTGCCGTCGTTCGAGCAGTGGCGAGCCGTCCTGGTCTGCCTATGCGCGATCTGTTGTTTGTGTAACGCCCTGGCATCGCTCGGACGTGTGCGTTTTTCCTCGGCGAGGACCATCGAGGAGCATCCTTGACCATTTGCCGAAAAAAACACGCACGAAACCAAAAAAAACACAGGGAATGGACGTCCGAGCGATGCCGAGAACGTGGTATCCTATGGTTGTCGGCCCATCCCGCCACCCTGCCTGGGTTGTGGGTCAGCGGCCTCGTGGCTGCTTCGCTGGGTCTCTTGAGAGGGCTCGCGTGGGTACCTCTCAGCGACAGGTGTGAGCCTCCTGGGAGCCTCGTGGGCTTCCTTTCATGGTTGCGTCTTAGAGCTTCTTGGGGGATTGTTGGGGGCCTCCAGGGGCCTCTTGGGGCGGTCAGCTCGAAGTGTCGGCTCGCGTTCCCTCGTCTGGGTCACTCTTGGGGCGTACTTGAGGCCCCCATGTGTCGTTGTGGATGCCTCTTTGACAGTTTTGGGGCCTGTTTGGACCGCCTCGGCGCCCTCTTGGCGAGTTCTTACGCATTATTGGGGCAAACTTTGGGGCCTCTGGGGCCGTCTTGGAGCGCCGGGAAGCCAGAAAAGGCAGAAACATGAATCTGTCAAACAACTCAGGCAATTCAAATCCATTTTGCGTTGGGGGACCCTCTTGGACATGCTCTTGGATCCTCTCGGAGGCGTCCTGGGCCGTCTGGAGGCCATCATGGGCGTCTTGGAGCGTTCTTTCGGAGAGCTTGGGTCCTCTTAGACGATCTGGGCGGCTGGGGCTCTCTTTGCTCCTTTTGGGGGCCCTTCTGGGCGAGGGGACCGTCCCAGAGGCCCACTCGGGTCACCCCAGAATCGCGCAGCGGCGCTTGAAGAGCCTTAACAATCCTTCCGTCCACCCCTCAGCACTGCATGAGCCTCGGTGCGTGACACTTCGTGCTCAGCGCATGGTGGCCGGATAAGGACGTTTCCGGTCTGGGCCAGTCTGTTGTATTTCCCTGGTGCTGTGTTAAACAGGCAATGCTTGCTCAGAACGCTGCTTTTAGTGCCCAGGACGGTCGGCCCCTGGTCAAGGCGGCCAGAGCGGGCGGAGGTCTCGGCTACACGTCGGAGTGACCCTTCGCTGGAAGGCCTGTCGGTGCGGGCTCACCGGGCCCCCCCCCGACCTCTGAGCGCGATGCGATAGTGGCTGCTGGCGCGTTTGGATCTGGCCCCTCAGTCCGCGCATTCAAAGGGTCACCCTGGCCTGGGTTTACTTCGAATCCAACCCCTGGGAGGTCAAGGTCTGATCTTTCCCTGGTCCGAAAAGTTAGGCTTGATCCGGCTTCGTCCCGCTTGATGTGGTGCACTCCGGCGCAATCCCGCCTAGTCCCTCTTCGTCCGCGGACAAATCCGGCGTAACAGCTTTCCAATGGGACTTAATCCTCTGCGAGTGTGCAGCAATAAAATGAAAAGAACCCCCAAAATTTTGGGAGGCGACGTAAGTTTCGAAGCCACAGGCTGCAGAAGTATCAAACTAAACCGCCCATAATTAATTATCCCTCATGCAAAGGCGGGGAGGACCTGTGTTATTAGGACCAGTTTTTTTTTTTCATCTTCGATGATTATCAGGAGGGAGAAAACACACAGACACAATGCACCGTCGACTTCCAGGAAAATATGGGAAGTGGGGGGGAAGACGAAAACCCAGGAAATAGTTCAAAATCTGGTGAATCCTGGGATTCGTGTCTGCTTATTTGTGTGTCCCTGGGCCGCTCTGCAGCAGTTGCCTCCGACGGTCACTCCTTGGGCGTGGCCGATGGTCCCACCCCCCGAGGGCCTTCGGGGGGGGGGCTCCTGTCGCTGTGGAGCAGGGCGCTGCCCCTCGGAAAGGTTGTTACCGTCGGGGTTCGCGTCGCGGCAGGGGCTCCCCAGGGGTTCGCCGGACCCTTGCCCATCATAGGGCCAGCGGCCGCTCCAGGAGCCACCATAGGGTTTCTGAAGGCCCGTTGTGTCCGCAATGCGGTATCCGTGGTCATTTTGCTCGTGATTGTCCGTCGGTGGCGAGTCCAGCAACCACACCAAAATCGTCCTCCGCACCCCACTTTTGGGCCCACGCTGCGGGCAATACTTTTGTCCATATCCACTGCAGTATGGAGTTTCGGGCTCCCTCCCCCAGGAACCCGAGGCGCACTGGATATGGATGAACATCGGGCCCCCATAGACTGTCTTTCTCCATATCCAGTGCGCCTCGGCCTACCGACGCCCCTTCCAAGAAAGTCCAAGACGCACTGGATATAGATATGAATATTGCTCGCACCAGGGTTTCGCTGATCGTTAGATTTGGGCCCACGCGACAGCTGAAACCTTCGAGCACGACCGCTTGAGATTCTACAGTCGGGCCGAGGTGTGAGGTCGAGGTCGGCTCGGGGAGGGTGCCCTCATGTTCTTCGTGCTGGCTGGATGCTCTTGTGCATCCAGGGGAGGGTAACCCTAGATGTTCGGTGTGCTTTGGCCGGCGGAGGGTCTCAGGTTCTGGGAGGATGCTGCTTTGTCCCAGGTCCGACTGCCCTCCTAGAAGAACGTAGTGCCGTGAGCTGGCCAACGACAAGCAGTGGCGAGGCTTGCCCCCGTGGGTCACCACAGCCTTTCGCCGCCGCCAGGGGTATCGCGAGCCCCGCGCAGGACGTCGTTCGGGCCGACATGGAGTTCAAGTTCCAGAACGACAACCTCGACGTGATCAGGGGTCTCTACGAGGTGGCCGGGTTCGGACGGGGCTAGGACGAGGATAAATCCGTTCAGATGGTTCCAGGACGCTCTCAGAGCGTTCCGGAGCGCTCTCAGAGGGCCGCGGCGCCCGAGGCATCCTCCAGAGCCGCGGGATCTCCGAGATTCCCGATTTCTCCTCACCCGATGTTATCTTCGTTCCGGTTCTATTCCACCCGTGATCATCTGTTGCCCCCCCTTCAAAATGCCAGACGGGGGCCCAGGAAGCAGCCCGCCGAGTTCTCCTGACTCCAGGACAGATGGTCTAGATTGGTTCAATGCTTCACGACTTGGCTGCCGTTTCGTCCAAAGAGGACGTCAGGGGACGGCTGGGGATCACCCTTTGCAGCTGCTTTTACGCTCGGGTTTGATGAATTACGGTGAGACCGAAGTATAAGGCCGAGGTCGGTTCGGGGAGGGTACTCTAATGTCCTTCGCGTTTGTTGAGTGCTCTTGTGCATCCTGGTGAGAATACGCCCTCGAATGCTCTGGAGCTCGGCGTCTCGGAGGGTCTCATGGTCTGGAGGTGTGTTCTCGTGTGTCCCAGGTCCAGCCGTAGCAGGTCGACCTTGCAAGACCAAGGGTAACCTTGTGTGCTTAGTCTAGGGTTAAGTCGGGCACGTCCCTCCACAGGAGGAATACCCAAACAGATCTAACGTTGTCCGGGGACGATTGTTCTATTATGTTCTGTTGTGTTTGGGTATTTGTTGCATTTTCCCAAAAAGTCCACCTGTAGTCAAGGGCGTGACAAAACGCCCCTACCCTGGTTTACGAGGCGGTGTGCGCTGAACCTCTTGTGGGCTGACAGGGTAAGCCCCCGCGTATCGCGCGTGTCGCGCGGCGCCCTGGCGGCTCTCTGGCATCTGCGAGCTCCCAGGAGGTTAGCAGGCCACGCACTTGCAACCCAGGATGGGGGCTTTTTTTTCGTCCCTTAAAGTGTGGTGGGGGCGTTCGTTAAGGAACGTGCCCAGGGCGCCTCAGACCCTGGAGGGTCCCTTATCTGAGGAGGGCGGCGGTGATATCCATGGCCTATCCACGATTCGAGTTCCACTGGCTTCCAGACCCTGGATTCCGTATCTAAGGGTTCCTTATCCAAAGCCCCCACCGTAGGAGGACATGTCCGACCTCATTGCGCGAATGATTCGTATCATGCGGCCAGCCTCGCGGATCGAGGGGCCGTGCTCATGTACATGGTTGGACGCGTACGTCCTTCGTGGGTTCCCTGCCCTATATGGGGCTCCTCACCGAAGGGCTCCTCCTCGAAGGGCTCCTTCTCCGATGCCCCCACCGCAGGAGGCCGCGCCCTGGCATCGCTCGGACGTGTGCATTTTTCCTCCGGCGAGGACCATCCAGGAGCATCCTTGATCACTTGGCGAAAGAACCACGCGCGAAACCGAGGCCGCGCCCCGACCGAAGCCCAGGGCTCGGCCTCCCCCGCACGCCCCGGGAGCACGGGCCGCCCCCCCCCCCCCCGGGAGAGAGAGGGCCTCCCGCAGGGTGCCCTCGCCGGGTGCCCCCTCGGCAGGCGCGCCCCGAGCGCGCGCGGGCCTCCGGGCGGCCTCTGCTCGACGAGGCGTCGAGCGCCTCTCCCTCGGCGTCGCTCGCGCGCCTCTTTCCCCGTGCAGAGAGCTCGGCTTCGTGCGTGCACGTCGTCGCGAGAGGATCCAAGATCCTCCTCGATGGTCCTGGCCGAGACAGGAGGCACGGGATGGATCTCTCAAGCTCTCCAGGTGCCCTCGGTAGTGAAGCCCCGAGCGCCCGGCTCTCTGGGCGGCCTTTGTTCGACGAGGCGTCGAGTGCCTCTCTTCGACGAGGCGTCGCTCGCGCGCACTTTTTTCGGAGGTGGACAGACCTCCTACCCTGACACGTCGATTCGGGAATCGGCCGCTTTCAGTTCGCGAGAGGGCGCCGCGGCCGTCATTTTTGCGGGTCCTGGTCCGTCGGTTTCGATCCCGGGCCGTTTTCTCTAAGGGAAGATTTTGTAAAGGGAGATTGTCCACCGCCGATTTTCGTGGATAGATCTCTCAAGCTCTCCGCCGCCTCTGGCTGTGTGCGTTGCGTTGCGAGCAGGAACGCAGCAGAGCCAGAGGAAGGCGCGGCATTGCTCGCAGCGCAACGCACACCGCCAGAGGCGGCGGAGAGCTTGAGATGTCTATCCACAAAACGTGCCTTCTGTCTCGGCCGGGACCATCGAGGAGGATCTTGGATCCTCTCGCGACAACGTGCACGCACGAAGTCGAACTCTCTCCACGGGTAAGGGGCGTCCGAGCGACGGCAGGCCCTTGCGAGCTGCGGGCGTGCCGAGCTCGAGTGCGCAGCCGGGGACGGAGGAGCCTGCGGGGCAGGAGGAGGAGGAGGAGGAGGAGGAGGAGGAGGAGGAGGATTTGAGGAGGACGGACATCCAGACATGATGGCGTCGTTAAAACATATCAGGACGGGTGGCTTTTTGGCCAATGTCGGCCTCGGTGGACCCTCGCTGGGTCTCGGGACCGTCAAACAATCGACTGGTGATGAAAAACGGGCCCCGGGGAGAGGGTCTGGACTTCGGGGACGCCGGTCTGAGAAATCAGGGCGTCGCATGCCTGTGGATCGAGGCATGTGGAGAGGTGGGCGAGGGAGGCGGGAGAAGGGGGGGAGGGGGAGGCAGGAGCGAGAGGCTCGAGACGCGGGGGGAGGATCTGCACGGGCTTGGGGGAGGGGCCCTGAAAGAAGCGCAAGAGGAGCGTGGGCCCCCCCCCCGAGAAGCGCACGAGTTGCCGGGGATCCCTGGGCGGGCCCGGCCGCGTTGCCGCGGCGGGGGCAAGGCGCCGCGGGGGAGGGAGGAGAAGCCCTTGAGAGGAGCGCGAGGCGGGCCGAGGCCGCGCGGAGAGAGCTGGGGCCGCTGGCACATCGGAAGGCCCCCGACGGCGGCGAGCACCCAACGCCACCGCAAGATTTCAGGCGATCGCAAGCATGCGGAGGAGGAGGAGGAGGTGGAGGAGGGAGGAGGAGGAGGAGGAGGAGGAGGTGGAGGAGGAGGAGGAGGAGGAGGAGGACCTCCTGGAGGGGAAGGGGCAGGGGGGAGGGGGGAAGGGAGGGGGGAGGGCTTCTTGGAAGCAACCTGCTTCTTAGCAGGCGCGGGAAGGATTCTCAGCAGCACCCCGCTTCCTAGAATCCTAGAAGGCGCGGGCCTTCTCTCTGTAGACATAAGGCCCGCGCCCTCTAAGAGAAGCAGGGTTCTTCCCAGAAGCCTCCCCCCCTTGCCCCTGCTCCCCCCCCCTGCGCGCCGCCAGCCGATGGCTGCAGAGGAACATACCCAGGGGATCGTAAACATGGATCAAGGGGGCGTGGATCAGCGACGGGTCCCGTCCCCACGAGAAATCTCGGGTGCCCGCCGCCGAAAGAGGCGGCACCGGGCGCATTCTGGGGAAGGCACCTCCCCACATCGATCGTCGTAGATGGGGTCGGAGGACCGCGCCACATCGCCGATGCGGCGCGATGTTCCGATTCCATCTACTCCGACCCCATCTAAGAGGCCTCTAGTTAGAAGGAGTCTTTGGAGACTCCCCTGCTCCAGTGTGCTTTGGGCGCCCGCCTGTTTATTTGGGGAGTCGCGCGGTTTTCCAGCTTCCCCCTTCTCCCCCAGGGGGGACGGCGGAAAACCTACCCGCCCCCAGCGCCTTCCCACTTCACGCTCCTGTGTGCCCAACCTCGTGGGCGAAGAGATATCCGTACCCGAGGCCCTGCCGGGCCTCTGGGCCGCGACCCCCGCGCACGCGGGGCGTGTCTCCGCGCGAGCCCGCCGCACGGAGTGTCTCCGCGCCGCGCGTCCGCGGGCTCGCGCCCCGGAATCCAGACCGCAGGGGCACGGATACGGATACTCTAGGCCTTCTAGATGGGGCCAGAGTAGTTGTCAAGCAGTGGCGAAGCGTCCCGGCGTCACTGCAGGCCCACCAGACAGATGTTCTAAGAACCCTTTGTGTTTCCTACGAAATGTTATTAGAATATTTCTGGTTGGGGCTGTCTTGATTTATCACGTCGGGTTTATGTCCAAGAACATTGTTTTTGTGCTTCGAACATTTGTGGGTTCTAAGAACATCTCGTGGTAGGACTATAGGAATGCCAGGACGGTCGGTCCCTGCTCAAAGTTGGGGTCGGAGGATCGCTCGCCGATGCATCGGCGATGCATCGGCGATGCGGCTCGATGATGGGCCCAATTGTCTCCACGCCGACATCGCCGATGCATCGCCGACGTCGCCAGTGCATCGCCGATGCATCGGCGATGCATCTCCGATGTATCGGCGATGCGGCGCGGTCCTCCGACACCATCTACTCGGACCGCATCTAGGAGGCCTCTAGATACACGCTGGTCGGTGAAAGTAGGTATTCTGAATTTCCCGGATCCCGATCTGTTTCAAGCGTCTTCCTACTCCAAGAATCGAGTCGTGTTGCCGTTGTTTGTTACTCGTGGCCTTCGGGTCATCCCGCCACCGTTCCTGGGTTGTGGGTTAGAGGCCTCTTGGATGTTCGTTGGGATATGTTGGGAGGCCCCTCGGGTGTCTTGACGACGCAGTTTGGAGGCCTCCTGAGGGCAGTTTGGCGGCCTCTTTTTGTGCCTCTTGGGGGCCTCGTTGGGCTATGTTGGGGGCCTCTTGGGCCTCTTGTTGGTTCGTGTCCCCCCTCTTGGACCCCTCTTGGGGTAATCTTGGGGCTCTCTTGGGCCGTCTTGGACGCCTCTTTCGTCGGTTTGGGGCCCTCTTGGGTTGTCTTGGGGCCCGCTTGGGGGCCTCTTCGGCCGCCTGCTCCCTGCAGCGCGGAAATGATAGCGCGGCGGTACTGGCAGCCTCTCGCGAACACACCTGCAAGTCGACGGTAAGGAGGAGGAGGAGGAGGAGAAGGAGGAAGAGGAAGGAGGAGAAGGAGGAGGAGAAGAAGAAGGAGAAGGATCCAGGCTGGCGCCGCAGTGCTTCACGCGGCAGCGCTTACGGCGGCGGTCGGCCCACCACTGGCCCAAGCTGGCAGAAACGATTGCGCGGACTGCGCCAACGGGATCATCTGGATCGTCGCCTCTGGCCCACCAAAACCGACCAGGGGGCCAGCATGCCGCTACATGGTGCAGGGTCGTGGACGGGGCCACGGAGGTGGCGCGATGTCTGCGAGCGCCAGCGCGGCGACGACAGCGGAGCTTGCCGTGCCAAGAGCGAGCAGGGCATGTGCGACCAGGCTATGCGCGAATCAAGCTGGACAAGACAAAGGCACTCCGGCAAGATCACGCCTGCGCTGCAGGCCGACGCGCATGAGCGCGCCACGCACGAGCAAGCGCAAATGCACGAGCAGCCGCAGGTGGACGGCGGAGAAGCATCACCAGGGATCGGAGGAAAGCCGGCTGAGACAGTTCCAGAAATCTGGCTGCTCCAATTTTTTGATGCGTGGGACCGCCTTGGGGCGGTCCTGCGGGGGCCTCTGGGGCCATCGTGGAGCGTCGGAAGCTCGAACACGCGAGAACGCGAAAACATTGCAAACCAAACGGGAAATACATGATTGTTGCATCTTGGGACGTTCTTGGAGGTGCTCTTGGAGCGCTCGTGGGGCTTCTGTGGGGCCTCTTGGGCCGTCTTCGGGCCATCTTGGGCGTCTTGAAGCGCTTTGGGGCCGTCTTGGAGGCCTCTCGGACCCCCTTGGGCGCTTATTGGGGCCCTCTTGGCCGTTTTGGTGCCCTCGGGTGACGAAAGCATGAGCAGCGAGTGCGCATGCTCTGACTTCAATTCGCAGAGTGGCGCTCTGCTGAAGCGAGGAGGAGCAGTGACCGCGAACCTGCTCTCACGTCAATTCGCAGAGCGGCGCTGTGCGAATGAGGGCTCGAGCAGGATGGAGGACCCTGCTTTGAGGCCAATTAGCAGAGCTGCTATTTGCTACTGTGGGGAGGAGCAGCGAGTGCGTTTGCGTTGAGGCAAGTTCGCACAGCGACGCTATGCTACTTGGAGGCCGAACATTTAGAGAATGTGCGGCCCCAGCCCCTTGAAAATCATAATTCAGCACTCAGGACAGAGAACACATGAGAGCCTTGGGAAAGTTCCCCTCGCGCCTCGCGGCACGGTGGCGGATGACGGGAAGCGCCTTCTCGGAACGAGAAGGTGATGGGAATTTTCTGGCATTTTTGAGTGAGGTGTAAATAAAGAACAAACTCGCGAGGGACAACTGGCTCCCGATTGTAAATGTTGATGCGTTGGCGGATTCCGCTCAAAATGGCCGTTTCGCTCGAGACATCTTCGAACATGTGAGATGTTGAAGCCGTGTAGTTGAAACGTCTTTTGTTAAACATGAGGTTCTCGCTCGATACATCCTCGGAAAACGAGCTACTGAGCTCGCTCGCGAAATTAAGCGAATCGTTGGAAAGTGTCTTTCGCCCGAGACATCCTCGAAAACGTTAGATGTGGAAGCTGTTTGATTAAGACGTGTTTCGTTCACAATAGGGTTCTCGCTAGAGACATCCTCGGAAAACGGCATTCGCACCATCTGAGCTCGAGGTCCTGTTTGGTCCGTCTCTTCCGTCCTCTCCGCCTCTGAGGTTTCCTCCGTTTCTGAGGTCTCCGTCTCCTCCGTCTCTGAGGTCTCCTCCTTCTTTGAGGTCTCTTCCATCTCTCCTCCGCCTCCTCCGTCTCCTTCTCCATCCTCCTCCTTCTCCTCTTCCCCCTCCTTTTCCTCCTCCTCCTCCTCATTCTCTTTCATCCTTCATCGCGCACGCACGCCGTACATCCCCCCGCTCGTCGCCCCCGTAGCACGTCTCGCACGCACGCCGTACATCCCGGGCGCCCGTCTCCCCCATAGCACTTCCCGCACGCACGCCGTACATGCCGTACATCCCCCCCGCCCGTCGCCCCCATAACACATCCCGCACGCACGCCGTACATCCCCCCGCCCTTCGCCGCCATAACATCACCCTGCACACGCGCGCACACACGCAAACAGCCGCTCACTCAAGCACATACACAGGCACGCGTACATACACGCACGCTCGCACCAGAGTAACCACAGCAACCACAGGCAACCACTAAGCCCGGAGAAGCAACCACTAATCCCGCCCTCCGCGCGCGACGCGAATTCTGGCGAACTCTCCGTGGGGGAGGCGTTTGGGGCCCCATCTCCCCCGCGCGATCCCTGGCTAATCGTCTGGGGGGGGGGCTCGCGCGGCAGCGGCAGCAGCAGCAGAGCAGGAGTGGGAGGAGGAAAAGAGGCAGATGACGACGAAGAGGGGAAGGAGGAGGAGGAGGAGGAGGAGGTGGATGAAGGAGAGGAGGAGGAGGAGGAGGAGGAGGAGGAGGAGGAGGAGGAGGAGGGGGAGTAGGCAAGGCCAGCGCGGCATGCGAGCGAGGAGTTCTTTGGTGTGCTCAATCAGACGTTTATATGACAAGCCTTGTGGACAAAGCGGCGCTTCCCGTTCTTGTCCTGTCGGGTTCTTTGGGCGGGCCGGAACCCAATCTACTCTATCCGCCTTCCTGCTGCTCGCACCTCGTGAATTTCTTCCGAACGAGAGGTGCGAGCGCGACAGCGATGGCCGCGACGACCGCGGCGACGACGACCGCGGCGACGACGACCGCGACGACGACTGCGGGGTGGCCCCCCCGCGGAGGTGGCCGGCAGGGTCGAGCTGCAGGGCCGCTCCCTCGTGCTCGAGCCGGCGGCGTGGAAGCAGAGGCCGCGCCGTCTGCGCCCCGTCCTGGAGCGAGAGTGGACGTCACCCAAGCGAGGAGCGGACGTCACCCAGGAGGAGGAGGAGGAGGAGGAGGAGGAGGAGGAGGAGGAGGAAGAGGAGGAGGAGGAGGCGGAGGAAGAGGCGGAGGAGGGGGAGAAGGAGGAGGAAGGAGGAGGAGGAGGAGAAGAGGAGGAGGAGGAGGGGAGGAGGAGGAGGAGGAGGAGGAGGACGAGGAGGAGGAGGAGGGGAGGAGGGGGTCGCTACAGGGCGATGCCGGAGGAAGAGGAGGAAGAGGAGGCGGAGGAGGAGGAGGGAAAAGGAGGAGGAAAACGAAAAGGAGGAGGAGAAGGAGGAGGTGGAGGAGGAGGGGGTCGCTACAGGGCTATGCCGGAGGAGGATGAGGCGGAGGCGGAGGAGGAGGAGGAGGAGGAGGAAAGGAGGATGAGGAGGAGCAGGAGGAGGAGGAGGGAAAGGAGGAGGAGGAGGAGGAGGAGGAGGGAGGAGGAGAGGAGGAGGAGGAGGAGGAGGAATAGGAGGTGGAAGAGGGGGGGGGGCGCTACAGGGCGATGCCGCACGTTATCGGCGGGGGGGAGGGGGCGGCAAAGTCATGTTTCGCGCCAGCACCGTCTCGGAACAGCTGGGGATAACCAGAGACAACTCCGGGGGGGAAGGGGGCGGCTGGAGCTGGTAACGACCGCCATCGCGAAACATGGCAAAACAATTCGCTTCCGTCCCCGTCAAGGAAAATGACGCTGCACAGACAATTTCTCGCAGGTCCGCGCACATTTCTTGCATCGGCGCTGGGGTCCCCCTGGCGGCGCCTCCGGCGCCGCCCCTGGCGCGCCGCGCGCGCAATGGAGGGGGGGTCGAGCGCCGATCCAAGAAATCCGCGCGGATGGCTCCGAGAAAGTAGGTTGATGCAGTTTGTGGTTCCTCTGCCTCGTCCTCCGTTCCACCATCCTCGTCCTCCTCCTCCGCCTGGTCCTCCTCTTCCTCCTCCTCCTCCTCCTCCTCCTCCTCCTCCTCCTCCTCCTCCTCCTCCAGTGGTGGTAAGTTTCCGCAGTCTTGAATGGTGATTCGTGCCCAGGCTTGACCTGGCTCCCACGGTTTAGCAGATCAGATCAGATCAGACCATCCTCGTCCTCCACGGGCCCAACGATCAGATGGGGTAACAAGTGCTGGTGCCGTCGCTCGTCCTGGAGGGCTCCTGTCGCCACGGCGATGGTTCTGTTCTCGGGATGCTGCCTCGGGAGGGGTGCGGGGAGGATCCTTCGGGGCCTTCGGTGGGGATCCTCATGGGCTTGGCATCGCTCGGACGCGGTGCATCTTTTCTTGGCGCGGGCCATCGAAGAGCATCCTGGGTCATGTCGCGGACAATGCACACACGAAGCCGAGCAATGCGCGGGGAGTGGACGTCCGAGCGACGGCGAGTGGAGTCACGAAGTCTGAGGCCTTCTTGCGCCCCGCAGGAGTACCCCTGCTGGGCGTCCCCGGGGCTCTACAGCCACCCTGGTGGATGGATGCTGAGGTCCTCGGGAGACGCGCCTAGGTATCCCCATCCTGTGTCCTTCTTCCCCTCGTCCTCCTCCGCCTCTCTACTCTGTCCTCCGTCCTCTCTCTATGTCATCCTCTGTCCTCCTCGCGCTTCTGTAGTCTCCTCGCCTGCGTCCTCGTCGTCGTCGTCGACGTCGTCGCCCCTGGAGTTGTCTCCTCGGAGACAGGCTGGCCCAGAGCATCGTATTCTCTTGTTTGCAAATTCTTTTCTTTGCCGAGCTATGGGGGCGCCGATTCGCCCGTGGTTTCATGTTTGCGAACCTGATCAGGATCTCGAGGCGGATCCTGCCGTTGTGACGAGACGAGGGCGACCGTGGAGTCCCCGACGGCCTCGAACGCCCAGATATCCCAGTGGCATTCTGCCCACCCCGCCACCGTGCCTGGGGTCTCGAGGACTTCTTGTCGGCGGCGAGCGAGGGGGGGGATGAGAAGCAGAGGGCCTTCTCTGGAGGCCGCGGAGCCTCTCAGAAGCCCTCGCGCCTGCTGAGAAGTATTCCGTGCCTTCGGGGAAGGCTCCGACAAATTCTCAGAAGGCTGGGGGACTTCCGAGCTGTCTGAGAAGGCCGCTGGGGGACTTCCGAGCTGTTGAAGCGCTGGGCGCCGCGCGCCACGGAGGGCCTCGAGAGAGGCTCGGGTCATGGAAGCGCAAATCGAATGAACGCTCGTCTCTCAGGACCACCCGGGGGCTGCTCGCACACGCCGGCAGGGGCGGCGATCTCAGCGCCGCTTCTGGTAGCAGCTTGGCTCTACGCATTGTGCTTGCCCGAGTCGTTGGATACAGTGGAGGTCCATGCCAAGAAACACCCTGCTTGCCTCCAAGGGTGCCCTGGGTTTCGTGGGTTTCGATGGTTTTGCAATGGAGAGCGTGACGTTCCCACCCAAAAAAATCAATGAACGTCCTGGGGTCTCAGGTTTGCGTTTCTTGTGGGCAGGCCTCCACTGGATCTGGGTCGTCGTCCCCGCCGCAGATCGGGTATAGCCAAGTCCCCAGGTAAGGGGACCCGGTTCGTAGTAGGGCCCCAGAGCCCCTAAATCGGCCAGTGATGTGTAAACCAGGTTTGCCGCAGCTGGTGTTTTTTGCCGGGTGACGGCAATTCCGGTTAGCGGAACGGGGCGGGGGCGGGGGGGGGGGGGCGCCCCCCAGTGCACAGCCCTGAACCGTGTGCCTCTGAACCCGGTTCTGCCAGCGCCCGAGCAGAGGCCGAAGAAGAACCCCAACAGCTTCATCATGGTGGGGCTGCAGGGCGTCGTGTCGCGCACGGAGGCCCACCCGCCTCGCCCTCCTGGGGCGTGCGCCGGCCAGCGGGCGCCTCCCCCCTCGCGGGGGAGGAGGGGGGGGGGCAGGGCAACGGAGGAGGGGGGGGGCAAGCTAGGTTTGCGTCGGGCATGTCCCTCCACAGGAGGAATATTCCAGAGAGAGAGAGAGAGAGCATTGGCAAAAAACCACAGCGAAATGCGATGCGAAGCCTCCGGCGTCGCTGGCTCCATGCACAGGGAAGGCTTGCCAATCTCGCCATGCATACGCCGCTCGCCAAAATTGCCCCCCGCAAGGTGGACGACCCGGGAAAGCAACCGCAGCAGAGGGGGCAGAGGAGGGAACGACACCCAGGGTCCAGGGCGAACCCGGAGCCAGGGAGGAGGAGGAGGAGGAGGAATATTCCAGATTTGTCCAAAAATAGTCGGGGGGCGATGTTTGGACTATCTTTGTGCCTACTTGGGGGCCTTTCTTTTTTTTGTATAGTATTTTCAACTTTTCGACCAAGATCGGCCTGTAGGGGGACATGCCCGACCTAAAGCTTGGTGCGCTCGCGTCATCTCTGACGTCCTACCCTCCATCTCCAATCACTTACCATGGCGTCGATAGCCTCTCTCTTCGCACAGTCGGATGTCGAGCAGGGCGATGATCGCGAGAGGGCGTGCATGGTAGAGGACGGCGTGGCATGGCGTAGAAGAGCACGGCAGAGCGTAGCATGCCATAGCATGGGTTGGCATTGCATCACAGAGCATTGGAATGCAATTCGTGGCATCGTACAGCGGCGCAGAACACAACACGGCACGACATGTCATGTCGTGGCGCCGGAATCTTTGGAGGGTATTTGAATCGTTTTCCAGAAGCCTGGGCCGAGAAGCTTCACTCATGGCGGGGCTGATGGAGGGCACCCGCTGGCTCTGCTTCCAGCCTCGCCTTCTCATCGCAGAAACGGGGCTCCCGCTTGATACTTCCTGAAAACGACGACGCCCCAAAGGGGGGGGCTTCTGCAGCCCAGAACGAATCGAGAGCGAATGTGCAATCATTTCCAATGATTTGTTCGGGGGGACATGTTCAATATTTGGGGGCCTATTTGGAAATAGCGAAAACGCCCGCGCTGCAGCGGGAACACGATTTGGAACAACCAGAGGCGCAGAAATGGGGCCAGCTCTTCAGCGGGAGCAGCATTTTTGACTGACAAGAAACCCAAACGAAAACCCAATTCCCAGGAATCTTGTGTGTAAAAAACAATGCGCGAAAGGGGGGCCGGACACCTTGCGAACATCATCAGGGTAGAGAGGGGAGTACTATTCGTATTGTGTATTTGTGGAGGGGACGGGAACGGAGGAGGACGGAGGGAAATTGTGGAGGGGGGGGAGGGAGGCGAGGGGGAAAGGAGATAAGAGATGAACGGGTGGGGAACGTTCTCGCCTTCCGGGGGCTGCCTGAAGTTTCTGGGGAGCTCTGGGAGCGTGTGCACTGAGTTGGCGTTCGGGTCGGAGGGTACGGGTACTGGACAGCGGAGAATGGGCAATGTGGAGGCAGGATGATCGGGGGTGGACAGAAACCCTACCCTGACAGTGTCATGAGTCATGTGTGATGTGTAGAAGCTACGTGTTCTGATGTGTAGAATCGGCTCGCCGAAAACAAACTACACAGATCCACGGATGTGTAGAACCTGACTGCTGGTTCTGACCCCCCCGTTCTAGTTTGAGGGCGTGTAAACAATCGAACTTGACACGTCGATTAGTGAATTGTCCGTTGTCGGTTCTCGAGAGGGCGCCGCGGCCGTCATTTTCCGTGCTTGCGCCCACCATGTTCGGGCCCGAGGTCGTTTTCATTAGGCCACGTTTTACTGAGTGGGTAGGACGAGGAGGGCCCCTCCTCCTCCTCATCCTCCCCCTCCTGGAGGGCGAGGGAGTACAACAATCCACCTCGCCGATGTTGGCCAGGCCCCTCCTGGGCCCAGGATCGGTACAAACGCCCTTGCGGCTGGGCTGGGGAGGCACGTTAGTCCGATGCCTCACAGTGGGCGGCGTGGGAACCCAGTGACCCTTCCATTTCGGGGGCGGAGATGACGTAGGAATCCTGGAGCCTGGATCGTATAGGCCGTTCCTGTGCCCAGGATCGGCATGGATAGGGTCTGTGCGGTGGATAGTTGGTGGCCCCGGCGATCGTATTGTTTCACAGTTGTTCGATCTTCCCTGGGCCTCCGGACATCTCGGGGAACCTCCAGAGCGGCCTTCGGGAGTCTCCGGGGATTTTTCTGATATCATGGACAATGAATTGGCGTTCCTGCCCATGGCTGCCGACAAGTTTCCACGATCTGCGACGGAAGGTCACTAAGACGCGCGACGTCTTTGTCGTCTTCCTCATCGTCCTTGTCGTCGTTGCCGTCCTCGTCGTGGTCCTCGGCCTGTTCCAGGGCAAAGCCTTCCCACAATCTCCAGGCGCACTTGGCCATGGTCACGGGGACGCCACTGGGAGCCCTGAGAAGGCCCAGAAATGCTACAAAAACCAAACACGTCTTCGATTGCCGATTGACGGCGCTGGCGACGACCACCACCACTACCACCATCACCACCCCACCACCACCACCACCAACACCACCACCACCACCACCACCACCACCACGGCCACGACGGCGACAAGAGCGACCAAGACGTCGACCGCAACGACGACGGCGACGACATCGACGACGACGGCGACGACGACGAATGACGACGAAGGACAACCACTATTGCCACGGCCGCGACGACGACGACGACGACCACGACGCCCTCGACCACGACGCACGGCGCCCAGGACGTCGATCGGAACGACGGCGCCGACGGCGCCGACGGCGCCGTCATCGGCCGCACTCCCCGCCGGAGAGGCCGCGGGCGAGCTGCGCTTTGCCGGCTCGGTGCCCAGCTTCGGGTGCGACAGCTTCGAGCTGAGGTCCCGAGCGCGACCCGAGGCGGAGGACGAGGATCGGGAGGTGAAAATCACACGCAGCGCCCCGCCACTGCGGACGAGAGTGAAGGCGGCGGTCGCGAGGCGGGTCGCGGGTGGGTCGCGGGGTGTGTCGCGGGGTGGATTGTGGGGCTGGGTCGCGGGGCGCGTCGTAGGGTGTGTCGCAGGCGAGGCCGACGGCAATAGCAACGATACATATCTATATGTGTGTGCACACACTCATATATAGCTATATATATGTATATATATATATGTATGTGTGTATGTGTATATATATGTATATATATATATACATATATATATATATATACATATATACATATATATATACACAAGACTTAAAGCCTGCTGCGCTTCGTTTCCACGTCTTGGTACATTGCGTTGTGCGTAGAAGGGGGGCCAGGCGGCAAGCGCGCAGCGGAAGGGAGAAGAGCATGTCATTCGATGAAGACGAGGACGCATGGGAAGAAATTGACAGATTGCCTGGGTGTCTGTCACGTCGCGCCGCGCCTATTGGCGCGGCGCGACCCTGCGTGAGGAAATAGCGCTTCAGCAACTTGATCGCTGATGGCAACGTTCGCTCATGGAAGCCATTGTGGGACGACCGTGTTACGTCATCGTTCGTACTTGGCGCCCTCGGGGGCCGTCTTGGCGCCTTCTTGGGCCGTCTTGGCGCCCTCTTGGGACGGTTTGAAGACATCTTGGAACGATTTGGAGGGGAGGCTCTTGAGCCGTCTTGGAACGCTTTTGGGGGCATAATGGACCGTCTACGGCGCCTCTTGGGCCGTCTTGGCGCCCTCTTGGGCCGTTTGGGGGCATCTTGGGAGGCTTTTGGGCCGTCTTGGGCGTTTTGGGGGGCCTATTGGACCGTCTTGGGCGCCTCTTGGGCTTTCTTGGCGCCCTCTTGGGCTGTTTTGGGGGCCTTTGGGGGGCCTTTTGGGCCGTCTTGGGGCGAACGTGGGGGCGTCGTGGACCGTCTTCAACGGCATGAAAGCCGAAAAACCGTATAGGTTAAACATGTACTTTTTAAAAAGAGCATCCTGGATTTGGGTCTATGGGGCCTTTGGGACGCGTCGTGGGTGCCTCTTGGGGTGTTTTGAAAGCCTCTTGGGACGTCTTGGGGTCATCTTGGGCAGTCTTGGGCTCTCTTGGAGCCCTCTTGGGCCGTCTTGAGGCTGTCTTGGGCCGTCTGAGGCGCTTGCGGGGCCGTCCCGGGCAGTTTTCCGAGGATGTCTCAAGCTAAACGTTCTTTTTGAGCCCCGAAGGCCGCCCTACTCGATAAATAACGAGGCCAGAGGGGCCTCCGGGATTCATTGGGGGGGTCATAATTTCTCGGTGTCAGATTATATATATATATGTGTATGTATATATATATATATACATATATACATGTATACAAATATACACACATGTATATATATATATATACACGTGTATATATATATATATATATCAGCGCACAAAAAGAATCTGGGCCACAGAATCGCACTGCAGCCACGCAGCCAGGGACAATAATAAGCGGTCGGCCGCTTCAGTCTGATCTATGTGATCGGGCGGGCAATATCCGAGGGCTAGAAGGTAAAAAGGGATCAGGAGGTAAAAAGAGAGACACATCAGGAGGTAGAATGGGATCAGGAGATAAGAAGGGATCCGAGGATCTGGAACCAATCAGGAGGGGATGCATGCCACGCCGCCGTTTGGAGCCCGTCTGCGTGTTACTTTGCGTTGTCAATCGAAAGCCTGGTTTTTTTTCAACCGTAGCGCGCTGATAGGTTCCCCACGACGGCCTGTCATTGCATGTTAGTTGTCCCCAAGGGGATCTTTGGAGAGGGTAAAGTCGAAGGTTCTGGTATTGCTGAGTTTGGGAGTTGCCCTACCTTTTTTCGGGTTTCCCGCCTCCCGGGGCGATTTTGGGCGCAAGAAGTACAGCTACGGCACACGCCCCCTTGAACGGAGTTGACGATTCGCCAGAGTCGTTGCATGGTGCATTTGCAGTCAAGTCGCATAGTATAAGGGCGAGCAGCTTCCCAATGCTACCCGTGCAGCCTTGCCCCATCCGGCCCATCCTCGGACACTTTTGCTGGCCAGCACCGTTCGGAATGGGAAAGCATCAACACGGCCTTCCCGGTCCCTTGAAGCCTTACCGTGCAATTTTATTTCACGTCGGTCGTTGAAAATAGGTCGCGTCGGACTCCCAGGTCCCAATCTGCTTCAGGCGCCTTCTTATCATAATAATCAATATGTGATTGCTGTATGTTGGTTTTGTTTCTCTCGGGGCGGGCCTGATTCCAACCTACGTGTTCCCCCTTCCCACTTCATGTTTATGATCCACCAACCGACTTTAGTCTTGATCACCAGACAGAATTCCGAGCACCAAGAAGAAAACACCGAAACTGGAGGGTGTTCACGTGCCGGGCCCTGAGAGGCGATACTCTCTCGACAACGTCACGATACTTTCCTGGGTGCTCGGGATCATTTTGGGGATGTGTGGTCTTGAAGTACGAATGGGAGAACATGAGTTCATGTGCTTACCTACAGTGGAGGCCCGTCCACAAGAAACCTTCCACAAAAAGCCCAACCCTGAGACCCCAGGACGTCCATTGATTTTTGGCGTGGGAGCGTCACGCCTTCCGTTTTGTTTTTGTTGTTTCTGTGTTTTTTCTTACATCTATAGAATATATGTATATATGCACATATGTACATAAATACATAAATACATGTACATATGTGTGTATATATGTGTATATATATAGAGAGAGAGAGAGAGAGAGAGAGAGAGAGGACACCCAGGGCACCCTGAAGGCAAGCAGGGTGTTCCTTGGCATGGGCCCCCACTGCACCTTTTCCGACCTAAGTGTGCGCGACTTGGCCGCGCGCGACGCGCGATGTGCGCCGCGTCATGTTTTTGCTACGCATTTCGCATCGTCGACGACAAAAAAAGGCCATGTTGAGGGAACCGACGACGGCTTTGTATTGTTTTTTACAGTTCACATGGGTGGGCCCGGATGGAACCCCTATCGGCCGGCCAGAGGGAAGAGTAATAGTATATTCGAATATCGCCACCCACCAAACCACCCCAACCCAACCCGAAGGCTCGAATTTATCGTCGATGTCCAGTGGGGGGGAGGTCTGGGAACATCGAAAAAACACGCGTGGAATCCTTACCCCCCCAACCCGAAATTCGGGTCTTCGGGTTGGGTTGGGGTGGTCTGGTAGGTAGTCAGAATAAGGAATGAGGACAGGAGTATTGACAGGAGTAGCTGTAGAAGTAGGGGTAAACGACTCGGCTGGCTGTGGTCGCCTGCGCGGCCGCCGAGGTGCTCCCCTCCGCGCCGCACCCCCTGGGCGCGGGGGGGCCCCAGGGGCCCGGCCGGGGCAGGGCGTGGCCAGGTCTGCGCCGGCCCACCTGGAGAGCGACGCAGGGGGCGGCGGAGGAGGAGGAGGAGAAGAAGGCGGAGGAGGAGGAGGAGGAGGAGGAGGAGGAGGAGGAGGAGGAGGAGGAGGAGGAGGAGCAGCAGGAGGAGGCGGAGGAGGAGGAGGAGGAGGAGGAGGCGGAGGAGGAAGGAGGAGGAGGAGGAGGAGGAGGAGGAGGGCGACGCCAGAAAAAGGCACCCAGGGGGTCTCCAGCAGGGCCCCCAGATCGGTGGGCGCCCGAGGGGGCTTCGTGTCCATCCTTACCCGAATTTCATCCTTATCCGAGTTTTGCCGCTTTCTCGGGTTTCATCCTCACCCGAATTGATCTTCCTCCTCCTCCTTGGAGATATGGTCGGCATCCCGCAAAGGGGGTGTTGTGCCCCGGGAGGGGTGTGTGAGTTGGATCGGTTCTTGCCCCGAACCGCCCACAGCAGATGCCCGCCAGCCGCCGGCAGCTCCCGATGGTTGCCGATAGGTGGGGCATGCGGGGGGCACCGGTTTGCGGCAGGTCGGTGCACTGAAGGATCGAATGTATGCCCCCCCTCAGAGTCACCCCGCCTTCGGTGGATCCCGACAAGAGGCATCGTCGATTCCCTAGAAATGATAGGAAAACATGGGAAGTGGGGGGGAAGACAGAAACCTCGAAAATATAGGAAATGGTGGGAAAATTGTTATTTGTGATTATTTATTTGTGTGTCCCAGGGCCCCTTGAATTTGCTCGGCCTCCGAGGGGAGGGGGGGCGCAGTGGAGCACCACCCGTCTTTGATCGATTGCCTCCAAGATGGCCCTTCGAGGCCCCCAAGGGAGCCCGAGAGGGCTTCAAGAGGGCCCCAACAGCCCCAGAAACTGTCAAAATGACCCCAAGAGAGCCCCGCGAAAGCCCCGAGGTGCCTCCAAGAGGCTCCCAGAGCGGGTCTGGGGTTTTGCCAGGTGGGAGACGCAGAAAAGCGGAGTCGTCTTCGCCGACATTCGCGCGTAAGTTGCCCGCGCAAGGTCGCGCGTAAGTGTCTTCGTCTCTAATGTGGCGTGCCGCGCTGGCGGCCCGCGCATGCAGCAGAAGGTCTCGGTTGGAGGTGTTGCCAGGTGAGCACGGGGTCGTTTTCGCCGGCATGCGCGCGTAAGCTGCCCGCGTAAGTTCGCGCGTAAGCGTCCTCGTCTCCAACGTGGCGTGCCGCGCTGGCGGCCCGCGTGAGCCGCGGCGTGAGGTCGCGGGGGCATCTCGCGTGAGATCCGTTCGTGATCGTCGCTCGGCTGGGCGGCCCTTGAAGGAGGAGGGGGCGTCGCCTTCTTTAGGGGCGGGTCGGATGAAAGCGACCAAACGCGTTCCACTACTCGAAAAGTGCCTACTCGCAAACGTCCGAAAAGCATACGTTTGCTTCGATGAGATGTATCGCAGATCCCCCGCGGCGGATCCAGGCCATTTGCGAGCAGCTACTCCGCGAGAAGTGGAACGCGCTCGTCTGGAAGGGGGCGATCGGGTAAGACAGGGGGGGAGGGGAGGAGGAGGAGGAGGAGGAGGAGGAGGAGGAGGAGGAGGAGGAGGAGGAGGAGGAGGAGGAGGAGGAGGAGGGGGTAGGGGAGAACTCTGCTGCGTGCAGCTGCTTTCGGCTCCGCCGTCGGGCTTCTCGTCTGCCTCGAGACGCGTGGCGCCCCGAGCTGGCGCTGGGAAGCGGCTCCCGGACCCCCCTTGGGCGGAGCCCCCCCCTGTTCAAGCAGTGGCGAAGCGTTTTGGCGCGCCCACCAAAACAAGTTCTAAGAACTTTTTATGGCTTCCACGAAATGTTCTTAGAACATTTCTGGCTGAGTCTGTCCTGTTTTATCACATCGGGTCTATGTTCTAAGAAGTTTGTTTCTGTTATTTGAACATTTATGGGTTCTAAGAACATTTCGTGGTAGGACTATAGGAATGCCGGGACGCCGGGACGGTCGGTCCCTGCTCAACTGTTCGTCCGGCCTGGTGGGCGCCTCTGTCAGCCGATCACCAGCATGGATCAAGGGGGCGTGGATCAGCGACGGGTGCCGTTCCCAGAGATCCGACGCATTGAAAAAGTCAGGACGGAGGATTTTCGCAAATTTCGGCCCCTAGGGCCCTCGCCAGGCCTCGGGACCGTCAAAAAAGACTCAGGATGAAAAACTGGTCCTGGGGAATGGGTCGAGACTTCCGGGGACCCCGTATTGAAAAAATCACGACATCGGATCTTTGGGTTTCCATGGGAAATTGCGGACTTCCGCCGCCGAGCGAGGTGGCACCCGCAGCATTTTAGGGAGGGCGCCTTCCCGATCCAAGGATTTGGCGGCGGCGCACCAAAAAAGAGGCTCCCAAGAGACCCCCAAGAGGCCCCAAGAAGCTCTCCGAGGCACCCAGGACGCTCTAAAAGGCGTCTGGGACCGCCGAGAGGCCCCCAAGACGCTCTAAGAGGCCTCCACTGGGGGACCCTTCTTCTGCGTGCTGCCCACTTCCCTGATCGAGGCTATTCCCCTGGGCATCGTTTCTGGATGGGCTGGTCGGGGTACGCGAGTGTGCTGTTACCTGCCGCCTCGCAGGTGGTGCGGGTGTGACGTCCAACGAAGCAGATTTCAAGCGTCCGCCCTCTGCACGCGTGGGAGCGGGGGGAGCACGAGGAGGAGAAGGAGGTGGAGGAGGAGGAGGAGGAGGAGGAGGCTGAGGAGGTGCAGGGAGAGGGGGCGAGACGGAGGAGGGATTGGGAGACGATGAGAAAAGGGAGGCGGAGGAGGAGGAGGAGGAGGAGGAGGAGGAGGAGGAGGAGGAGGAGGAGGAGGAGGTGAGGGGTGAGGACGAGGAGGAGGGAGGCGGACGAAGGAGGGGAGAGGTAGAGGGAGGGTGGAGGAGGAAGAGAAGGAAGGTGGAGAGGAGAAGAGGAGAGGGGGAAGAAGATAAGGGGGAGGAGATGAGGGGGAGGAGGAGGAGGAGGAGGAGGAGGAGGAGGAGGAAGAGGAGGAGGAGGTGGAGGTGGAGGTGGAGGAAGCATGAGAGGATCATGATGATGATGATGGTGATGATGATATTGGTACTGGTACTGTTACTGATACTGATACTGATACTGATACTGATACTGATACTGATACTGATACTGATACTGATACTGATGATGATGATGATGATGATGATGCTGATGATGATGATGGTGATGGTGATGGTGATGGTGATGATGATGATGATGATAGTGGTGGTGATGCTGATGCTGATGCTGATGCTGATGCTGATGCTGATGAGGAGGAGGAGGAGGAGGAGGAGGAGGAGGAGGAGGAGGAGGAGGGAGGAGGAGGAGGAGGAGGAGGGGGGAATCCTCTCTGGAGTTCTAGCACTCTACAGGGAACCTTGTTGGAGAATCCCTGGGGCTTTTGTGGACGAGCCCCAGGACGCTGCCTGTCCCGCCGGCGCCGCCGAGCCCGGCGCCTGCGGGCCCCAGGACGAGGCCGCGGCGCCGGCGCCGGAGGATCTCGGCCGGCCACTCGAAGCGGCCTCCGTCGGGGAGTGGAGGGGAGATTAGCGCGACTCGAAGAAGAAGTTGGAGCCCCTAGGAAAGCAGCATTAGTTGCTATGCTATGCTGTGCTATGCCATGCTATGCTGCGCTATGCTATCCTATGCTATGCTATGACTCGAAGAAGAAAAATTAGCGCTATCCTATAGAAGAAGGGCAGATGCCATTGACAAAAGCTTTCGGCGCGCCTCGCGGAGTTCTTGGATCGGCGCCGGAAGCCCCCCCCAGCGGCGCCTCCGGCGCCGCCCCTGGCGCGCTCCTCTCCTCACGCCAGGGAGGGGGGGGGGCCCAGCGCGGATTCAAGAAATCTGCGCGGAGCGCCAACAGTTTTTCTGTTGATGGCGTCTCTTCGTCTTCTATGGTAGCGAGGCTTCCCCGGAGGAGGAGGACGAGGAGGAGGAGGGGGAGGAGGAGGAGAACCCCGTCAGGCCCGCGGAGGCCAGGACGCAGACTTCGGGGGCCCCCAAACGGTGTGGTGACCACACCGTGCGGTGATTCGGTGGGGATTCGGGGTCACTGCACGGTTTTGGGACTCGAGTCCCTCTCCGAGGACGTCTCGGGCGACAGGGGGCTCTAGGGTCCCAAGACCGTGCGGTGACGGACCGTGCGGTGAGGTCTCTTGGGGTTTCGAGGTCACCGCACGGTCTGTCACCGCACCGTTTCGGGACTCCAAAGCAGGGCGCAGATTGGCCAGGACATTGGTACGTCGGGGAAGCGACACCCTTCCAGGAGGGAAAGAAGCACACAGACACAACTGATCGTCGGCTCCCAGGAGAAAAAATGTGAACATATGGGGAGTGGGGGGGAGAGGAAAGCCCAGAAAGCATGGGAAAAGATGGGGAATCCTGGGATTTGTGTGTATGTATTTGTGTGTCCCTGGGCCCCTTTACCCTTGCCTGCAAAGTCAGATCTGGTCGTCCAGTGCAGTTGTTGTTCGCTGCGCTGCAAGATTCGGGTCTCTGTCTGGGTTTTGGGGGGCTCTGCAGGTTTTCAGGGTTTTGGGCCCGGTTGGTTCTGGGAGTATGGCATTGCAGTTGTTTGTTCGTGCCGCCGTTTGGGAAACATTGGTTTCGAGGGATGTTGGATGTCTTTGGTCTAGCGTCTCCGAGTTTACGGGGCTTTGAGCCAGAGTAGTCCAAAGATGCATTAGCCATGCTGCAATAATCCCTCCCGTTCCAAGTCCCCTCCCCTCACGCTCCGAACCACAAGTTCTTTTTCGCTGCAAGACGCGCCTCTCGAATGACCATCACAGTTGGGCCTGGCAGTGTGGCGAGGGCTCCGCTTTGAACAGGAATTGCTCTGCACATGTTTGGCGCGTATGAGGAACGCGAAGAGCTGTGATCGGAAAGTTGAACGAAGCGTCCAGCGAGATCCCTAGTTCGAAGAAGACTGGCCCCTCATCCGTGCAAATATTGCGCAAGATGACTAGAGGAGGAAGATGAAAAAAGGATCAGACCGGGAAGAGCTGCCGATACCGCTACCCACTCCTCGTCGGCATGGCTAAATCTGTGGGACAGCCTTAGGCACGTCCCAGAAGGCGGGACACCGTTTGAATTGTTGCGCGACTTGGGCCTAGCTGGGTGGGGAATTCTGCACGCCCGACACGAACCGAGGCCGAAACAGATGTCCTGGTTCGGCGACTTCGTCTCATCTCGGTTTCGTTTTTCCATTTCTGATCTTCTGGTCCCTCGCCTTTGTAACATGTCATTTTCTTTCTCAAGCCTCCTCTCTACGCTGTGTTCTCTCCCTGCACCTCATACTTCCCGCAATGTTTGTTATATCATTGTCTTTCATCGTTTCTTTTGGCCTCTCTCATTGGTGTTCGGATATCCTTGTCATGTTCCACCTCGTTATCCTACATCATCGTCTGCCCCCTTTTTCCTCCTGCTCCTCCTCTCTCCATCGTCTCTCCCTGTATTCCCCATCTCATCCGTTTCCTCCTCTTCCTCCTTTCTCCTGCATCTCTGATCCTCTCTGCTGTCTCCTCCCCCTTCTTGCGCTGGAGGAGACATCGAAGGTGGCGCCGATGGACCACCGCACCGTCGCTTGGAACAGCGCTCTTGCGAGGCTGTTGAGCGAGGAAGGACGTGGAGGAAGCAGGAGGAGGAGGACAAGGAGGAGGGAGGCTGATATTAGGGGGGAAGGAGAAAGAGGGTAGTAGAGGGGATCTGAAGACGAAGGGGAGGCGCAGCGGGAGGCGTGAGAAGAGGATGGGGAGGGGGAATGCAGGGTTCCGGGGGACGTCATTATATCTTCTCGCCGATTTGTTTTACACCAAACACTCAATGAATGAACGCGCACTGAAGTGTTCGTTGGCGTCAGCGTGGACGCCAGACACGGCATGATAGCTGCCCAGTCTTTGCAGCGACCGCTGAAGACCTTTGACGGACTTGGCACGCACCACCACGTCATGCAAACGATTGAAGACAGGAGTCGAAGCAATACATTGGCGGATGGATCATCTGAAGATGGTTGGGTCTGAGAGGTTGTTGGGGGAAGGGAGAGCAATGTGTCGGGGGACGCCACCTGACCACCTCACCGAGCCTGGCCGGGCCGACTGAACAAATCTAGGTACATCGTGATACATCCGGATAAATCAAGAGATCTCCAGGGAAAGCTGGAGCAATTCTCGGCCGTTCCAGCGCGAGTCGAAGGACGGCAGAAGTCGTTAAGCCTGAGGCGGGGGCGCAGGATGAGAAAGGGAAGGGGACGTCAAGAGGCCCACAAGAGGTCCCAACGCGCTCCCATTCAGGATCCCGTGGGGTTTGGGGTCCGACCTCGAGTCCGAGCCGCGGTGATCGCGCCTCGTAGCGAGGCCGCAAGAGGCCATGACCTGCTTGCTCGCTGCGGGAGGCCGCAGCCCGTTGCCGCCTGCCAGATGTTCACCGAACCGGGTCGGCCTGGGACATGAGAAGGAGGAGGAGGAGGAGGAGGAGGAGGAGGAGGAGGAGGGGGAGGAGAGGGAGGAGAGAACAAAATTGGGAGAGGGAACAGACAGGAGCACCGGGGAAGGAGGCAGGGAGCGGCGGCGCGAGCGAGGGGCGGGAATGAGAAGGAGAAGGCCTGCTCAGAAGGCGGCGGGGCTTCTCAGAAGCCCTCGCGCCTTTGAGAGGTTTTCTGTGTCTGGGGAAGGCCGAGAAAACTTCTCAGAAGGCCGGGGAACTTCCGAGCCTTCTGAGAATGCCCGCCCGTTCTCTCTTCCCCCCCTCGGTAGCCGCCGAAGGGAGGTGTCGTGGTGGGGAGGGCAGACGAGGACGGCGGAGCACGAGGAGGACGAGCCGTGCGAGGCGACGGCGGGGGCGAGCGGTGATGGCGAAGCGACGCCCCTGCGAGAGGAGGCAGGGCGGCGTCGTGGTGGGGAGGGCAGACTGTGGACGGTGGAGCACGAGGCTTAAGTTGGGCATGCCCCTCTACAGGAGAAATGTTCAGACATAGGCAGAAGGTGGTCCGGGAACGATGTTTCTACCATGTTCGATTCTTTGTTTTTGATTTGTTTGACAATTGTCATCTTTCTTGCAAGATCGGCCTGTAGGGGGACATGCCCGACCTAACACGGGGCGGACGAACCGTGCGAGGCCACGGCGGAGGGCGCGAGCAGCCGTGGAAGCGGCGAGGCGGCGTCGTGGTGGGAAGTGCAGACTCTGCAGGGAGGAGGAGGAGGAAGAGTAGGAGGAGTAGGAGGCGGAGGAGGAGGAGGAGGAGGAGGAGGAGGAGGAGGAGGACGAGTGCAGGGAGGAGGAGGAGGTGGAGGAGGAGGAAGAGGAGGAGGGGGAAGGAGGAGGAGGAGGGGCAGGAGGAGGAGGGGGGGCGAAGCAGCGAGGCGGCGAGGCCCCCGCGGAGCCCCCGCGAGGCTGAGCCAGGCCCTCGCCCGGGCCCGGCGCGGCTGGCAGCGGAGGCTCGCGGAGCTGACGCAGCAGGCCGGCCGGAGAGCGCTGGCGGCGGGGCTGAGCACGAGTCTGAGCGCTGGCGCTGGCGGCGGCCGGAGAGCGCTGAGTCTGGGGACTATTTGTTTAGTATGTTTTGGCGATTTTGGAATATGTTTGGGCTTTGACTTTCCGTCCAAAATCCCCCTGCAGGGGGGCAGGCCCGACCTAACGCCCGCCTGCACCGCGGAGGCGCCGCCGCCCTGCGGCGCCTGCAGCCTGGGCCCCGCCGGGGCGCCGCCTCGGGAAGCCTGATTGGGGCGCCGATGGGGCCCAGGGGAGCACACAGAACTATACCCAGACGCGATCGCGTCGAAGAAGAATCCGGACAGGCGGTTTTTGGTAATTTTCAGCCTCGGGGGCCCTCGCCTGGGCCTCGGGACCGGCAGGGAACGACTCGGGAGGAAAAACCGGCCCCGGGGAGAGGGTCGGGATTTCCAGGGACGCCGTCCTGAAAAAAGCAGGACGTCGCATGTCTGGGGACGGTCGGGCGGGGGGCAACGTCGGGCGATCGCAAGCATGGATCAGGGGGGCGTGGATTAGCGACGGGTCCCGTTTCCATTGGAAATCGCGGATTTCTGTCGCCGAGCGAGGCGGCACCGGCCGCATACTGTGGAGGGCACCCTCCCCCGGCAGCAGGCCGGCCGAAGAGCGACGGCGGCGGGGCTGAGCACGGCGGTCGGGCGGGCGGCAGCGCAGGGTCCACTTTGATACTTCCGAGTCGAGTTGTTTCGATTGCGCGATGGCTTCCGATGCCGATTCGAGCCGGCTTCGGTCGGGCGACGAAATCTATACATATCCACTGCTCCCTGGCCAGGCCCATCCTGAGCCCAGGAGCTGTGTATACGCCCTCCTGGCCAAACCAGGAGGGCGTGGCGTATACACAGCTGCTGTGTTCAGGATGGGCCTGGCCAGGGAGCAGTGGATATGTATAGATTGCGTCGCCCTACTTCGGGTTCCGACGTAGACTAATTACGGCTCCTCCACGGGAGCCTGCGTGCCGGCCGATTTCCGCCGATTCGGCTTCTCCCGAGTCGGCTGCCAATTTCCTCCGATCCGATTTATCTCGATTGCCGATCCGACTTCTCGGTTCGATTCTTGGCTCGCTTGGTAACGGGGGGTGGCCCAAATGGGGGGTGAAAACAGGTCCTAAAGGGGCCCTTGAGGACCCATTTTGGGCACCAGCTGACTCCAAAAGGGGTTCCTACTTTTGGGCACCAGCTTTTGGGCACCCTGGCGAAGCTGACGCACCAGGCCAGATGACGACGACGGCAAGGAGCTAACGACGACGACGACGACGACGACGACGACGACGACGACGATGACGACGACGACGACGACGACGACGGTCACCGCCCACCAAACCACCCCAACCGAACCTGGAGGCCCCGATTTTCCCTCCATTTCCAGTGGGGAGGTCGGGGAACATCGCAAACAAACACACACATGAAGCCCATCCCCCCCCCAAACCGAGATTCGGGTCTTCGGGTTGGGTTGTGGTGGTCTGGTGGGTAGTCAAACGGGGACGGAGCAAGGAGCTGACGATGACGACGACGACATCGACGATGACGACGACGACGACGGCGGGGACGACGGGGACGACGAAACCCGACGACGACGGGGACGGAGCTGGGAGCTGACGACGACGACGACGACGACGACGACGACGACGACGACGACGACGGGGACGACGAAACCCGACGACGACGGGGACGGAGCTGTGAGCTGACGACGACGACGACGACGACGACGACGACGACGACGACGACGACGACGACGACGACGACGACGACGACGTCGACGACGACGACGACGACGACGACGACGACGACGACGAGACGACGGGGACGAGGAGGCACGGCGGCGGCGGGGAGGAGCACGCGACGGCGACGCTGCCGGGGTCCAGTCGGGCATGTCCCTCTGCAGGAGGACTGCGCAAGATCAGTGGCAAGCATAGTCGGGTGCCGTTGTTTCCCTTTCTCTCTTGACTCTTTTGGAGTTTGTTTTGACTAGAGTGGAGACCCGTCCCGAGAAACACCTTGCCTGCCTCCATGGTGGCCTGGATTTCTTGCGTTTCGGTGATTTTGCGGTGGGAGGCGCGGTGTTCTTCCCGCACCGAAAATCGATGGACGTCCTGAGGTCTCAGGGTTGTGTTTCTGGTGGAAGGTTTCTTGTGGTCGGGCCCCTACTGTATTACTTGTTGTATTCTTTCAATATCTGTCTGTAGTCGGACAGGCCCGACCTAATGCTGGGGCCTCCTCCGCCCTGGTGTGTACGAGTACGGCGGTGCTCCCCCGTCGGCGCTGGCGCTCTGGATGCGGTCGTCTCTCGCCTGCTGCTCGCGCGCTTGTTCGCCAGCCCCCTCGCACTCCTTCTCGCCCTCCTCGTCCTCCTTCCTGTCCTCCTCGTCCTCCTCGCCCTCGTCCTCGCCGTCCTCCTCGCCCTCCTCCTCGCTCTCCTCGTCGTCCTCCTCGTCCTCGCCCTCCTCCTCGTCCTCCTCGTCCTCGTCGCCCTCCTTGAGGACGACGACGGCGGCTGCGGCGCTGGCGACGGCGGCGGCGACGGCGAAGGCGGCGGCGGCGGCCGCGGACCGCGGCCGCGGCAGCGACCGAGAGGCCGACGAGAAGAGCGAGGCTGGCGCCGCGAGCCACGTCTCGATCGCCTCGGCCGCTGTGGCCGCCCTCGCCAAGGCCGGTGGCGGCAGGTGACCTCGTCAGGCCCCATTGGCCAGCGGCGCCTGGAAAAGGTTTGGGCCTCCCACATGGGGTCCGATCGGCGGCGAAATCCGAACCGCACCCTCGCCCAGCAACGATTCAGGCAACTCGATGGGTGGCGGGGTAGCGATGCCCCTGAGAGGAGGAGAAGAGGAGGAGGAGGATAAGGAGGAGCAGGAGAAGCAGGAGAGGGGGGAACGCACATCTTTCAGAGGCCCCCTAGATGGGTCGGAGTAGATGGGGTCGGAGAATCGCGCCGCATCGCCGATGCATCGGCGATGCATCACCGATGCATCGGCATGCACCGGCGACATCGGCGATGCATCGGCTCCGTCGAAGTAGAGCAAACTTGGCTCCACATCTAGCCGCATCCCCGATGCATCGGCGATGCGGCGCGATCCTCCGATCCCTTATGTTCGGATAGGTGGTGACAGCCGAACCTCACTCCCACCAGCCATCGATTCTCCTGATTCAATGGGAGGCGGGGGTAGGGTGTGGATTTCGACACGTGTGCGACGCATTCCGAACCCTACCCCCTGGGGAAACCAACAGGTACCGATACCGCTACTCCCCGGACCTCTCCCAGGCTGCGTTCTGACCAGGATTTCGAGGCGAATCCAGCGATGGCGACGAGGGCCTCCCAGAAGGCCCAGAAAGGGGAAAACAAGGGAAGGGTGGCGGTATGGGTACCATTCCCCCCTTTGACGGGGGCATCGGACCAAGGGTTGGCGTCGGGGCCCCCAGTCCCCCCTTGATTGCTGATAAGGGCCCGATAGCCGATAGCCCACCCCGCTCAGTAGCGTGGGGTTCTGCTAATTATCAGGGTTCTGTCGCCGACCTGTAGGCGATGTACCTCCGATCCCAGCGCGATGACTCCCCCCCCCCCCCCTGAGCTGGTCCCCTCGCGCTGTGAAGGACGTATGCGGCCACTTTTACGACGCGCTCGGCCCTCCTCCTCGAGCCTCCGGAGGCGTCCAAGGGGGCATCCTGGGCGCCTCGGGACTTGTCCGGAGACCTCTGGAGACCACCAGTCGGTACCATCGAAATGGGTACGGAAGGGATGGGCACGAAGACCAGAAGCAGTTCCAGGAGGGGAGAAGCACGGGGACCATGACCAAGATTTCGCGAAAACTTGTCGATGCCGATTTGGGTCATGGCTCTACCGGCCATCGCCAACTCGCGAAGAGGATCCAAGGATTCACGGTGACTAAGATCGACGGTGACCAAGATCGACACGACGTTTCTGTGTTCAGTCTTGGTCTTGGCCATGGTTATCGTGTTCTTCCCGTCCAGTTCCGACCCATTGTGAACGGGGTTCGCGGTCGGCGTCGCTGCGCACGTGCATTTGAGACAAAAGGCCGCCAGCTCAACAGCGGTCGTTATGGCATTTTGGCAACATTTGATACAGGGCATCGTTCGAAGAAGAGCAAAACAAACGCCATAAACATAAATTTCCGGCGCTCCGCGCGGATTTCTTGGATCCGCTCTGGGGCCCCCTGACGGCGCCTCCGGCGTCGCCCCTGGCGCGCTCCGCGCGCCAGGGAGGGGGTACCAGCCAAGTTCCAAGAAATCCGCGCGGAGCGCCAAAAGTTTATGTTTATGCAGTTCTTTCTTTGTGATTTTTTTTTATTAGTTGTTTTACCGATCAGCGCGGGCCTTTGTGCCCCCCCTCCCTCCCCCTCATGGAGTAGATCTTGGCTCTTTTTGGCGCCTGTTTCAAGCAGATGGAGTCTCCCCCAGGGGACGCACGATTCCAAACAGTCGCACTGAGCAGCGGGTCTGAGCCAGACCCCCCCCTACCCCCCTCTTCCGCCCAATGCCGAGACGCCGAATAAGAAATCGTTCACTGGCGCGCGCAGCGCGCCATGGGCAGCGCCGGAGGCGCCGCCGTCAAGGGGGTCCAGCGCCGATCCGAGAAACCCGCGCGGACCTCAGAGTGTTACGTAGCACCCCGCAATTGCGGATAAGAGTGAGGAGGGACCGGAAGGAGAGGGTGGAAATGAACATGGCCCCTCCCCGCGCGCCCTCCCCGCGCGCCCTCCCGGCGCGCCCTCCCCGCGCGCCCTCCCGGCGCGCCCTCCCGGCGCGCCCTCCCGGCGCGCCCTCGATCCCGGCGCGCCCTCCCCGCGCGCCCTCCCCGCGCACCGCCTCTTCTTTCGGCCACGCGCGCACAGGGACAGAGAATGACCGTTGGGCCCTCCTCACTCTGATGTGTATGTCAGTCTTCGTTCCCCTAATTCTTTCCGAACCCGTCTCGGGCGTCCAAGCCTGGGACCTCGGGGGACTTTCTCGGGGGCGGGGGTCTCTCGTGCTCTCGGCCTCCCCGGTGCTCTCTTGTATTCGCAGCCCTGGGGCCGGCAAGCAGGAGCAACGCGTCCCGGTGACGTGTTGGTATTGGTCTTACCTCGGGCGTGTCCCTCTACAGGAGGAATTTTCAAAAATAGCGAAACGATAGTCTGGGGACGATAATTTGAGAAGTTCTGAATATGTCTGATTGCTTTGAATATGTTTAGTTTTTCGTCCAAGATCTGCCTGTAGGGGGACATGCCCGACCTAATATTGGTCGTGAGGAAGGCGCGGGAAACTCGGAGTCCAGCGACAAGGGGGTCGTGCAATAGATTCAGTGCAATAGAATTGTGGGCGATGTGGGTGGGGTTGCAATAGAATTGGGGCGTGCCATACATTCCGGTGCGTAAGTGTATTGCTGGGCTTCCGCGTGCAATACCTCAGTTGCAAGACAATGCAATACAACTCTCTGGCGCAGTGCATTTGCAATACCATTGCCCCAAACCTATTGCACCACCCCCTTTCAGCTGGACCCCCTTTTGGGTCAACCAAAAAGGAGGGAGGGGGAGCGGGAGGAGGAGGAGGATTGACCGGGATCGAGCGGGCCAGAGCGACGCCCCACGGTCGCGTGCCGAGGGAGGCCGGGCCGCCTGGGGCCGTCCCCGGGCCGAGCCAGACCTCCCAGGAAGCCCCGATCGGGGCTGCACACTTCCCGCACGAGCTGGTCTCTGCACTGCAGCTTCACCTCGGGCCTGTCCCCCTACAGGGGAACATTCAGACATAGTCCAACAATACTCGGGGGACAAATCTGTTTTTTTGTATGTTTGGTTTTTCGTCCACACTTTGCCTGTAGGGGGGCACGCCCGACCTGACTGTAGCTGAGGGGGGCCCGTCCGAGCCCAGCGGCAACATCCTCAAAATCCTGGCCCCCAGGAGAGGAAGAATCTACAGCACAAAGCCAGCGTCTCACTCGAGACATCCTCAAAAGTCATTTCGCCGGCCCTCTAGCCGATGCGTGATTCACCGCGAAGAAGCTCGCGCCCTCTTCCCGTCGATTCCGGAGGTAAGCAACTGAAAGACAACCTCGGGACCACGCCACTTCCGGGAAAAACAAGGTGCGAGCCTTTGGATGGGTATTTCAAAAGGAAAATATAGTGGTTACCAGAGGGGGGAGCAGACAACAGGTGGCAACACCAGGCGGGTTGATCGGGTGGGTAGACCCTAACGGGCGGATCGGGAAGGCGGGCCCAGGTGGCAGGTCGAGACGGCGTGCTGCTGAAGCGTGCGTCCTGCATGCATCGTGGGGATGTCGCAAGCGATAGCACGATTCCCAAACAAACCGCGCGGAATTCCACAGCGAGGGTGTGATCTTGAGTGTCGCGTGTGCGGCGTATGAACAAATGCCGAGGAAGTCCCACGCGAGAGCGTTATTCCCGTATAACTTGTAAGGTCGTCCCGCGTGTGAACGCGATGTGTGAATACATTGTGGGGAAGAAGCAGGCGGGAGCTGCTGCTGTTGTAAACTGGGGGTCAGGGGCGCAGTTTGGTAGCCCCTCGCTTTCCTTTGTACATAACAGGGTGCGAGCCCCGGGACACGCAGTATAATTGTATTGAGAATGCAATGTATACTTGGCACGGGGACCAATAGTTGTTATTGCTTGGAAATCAGAAGCCCACAACATCAGCAACAACGGTGACGACAGCAACAACAATTCCAACAACAACAACGACGTGCAAAAGCGATCCATCGTGCCATCGACGTATCCATCCTTATCATGCTTACAATCGTCGTCATACTTACCACCACGATCATCAGTCATTATCCCCGTTACCGTTTCCCCGGAATCACCCTCCTCACTGGAGGAGGAGGATTCTAGGTGTTACCGTCGGCGGTTTGAGGTTGCCATGGGGAGAGGAGCAGGAGGAGGAGACAACTTGACGATTTGTCATGTGCTCGACTTGTTGTTGTCGTTGCCCATCGCAGCAAAGCCGTCATCCGTCCACCTCCCACCTCATTTCCGCGCTCCTTCTTCCCCAATGCATTTGCTCTCCCGTCTTCTTCCTCCTGGTCCCGCGGCTGATTCTGCTAATCCTCCCCCTTGCCTTGCCGCCTCCTCCCCTCTTCCTCCTCTTCCTCTTCCTCCCGCACCGAGCGCGGCCCTGGCGGCCGGCCGCCTCTCTCTCTCGCTCGCTCGCTCCTCCTCCTCCTCCTCCTCCTCCTCCTCCTCCTCCTCCTCCTCCCCCTCCTCCTCCTCCTCCTCCTCCTCCTCCTCCTCCTCCCCTCCTCCTCCTCCTCCTCCTCCTCCTCCCCCTCCTCCCGCTGCTCCTCCCCCTCCTCCCCCCCCTCCTCCTCCTCCTCCTCCTCCTCCTCCTCCTCCTCCTCCTCCTCCCCTCCTCCTCTCCTCCTCTCCTCCTCCTCCTCCTCCTCCTCCTCCTCCTCCTCCTCCTCCTCCTCCCCCTCCTCCCGCTGGTCCTCCCCCTGCTCCTCCTCCTCCTCCTCCTCTTTCCTCCTCCTCCTCCTCCTCCTCCTCCTCCCCCTCCTCCCGCTGCTCCTCCCCCTGCTCCTCCTCCCCCTCCTCCTTCTCCTCCTCCTCCTCCCCCCCTCCTCCTCCTCCTCCGCCTCCCCCCCCTTCTCCTCTCCTCCTCCTCCTCCTCCTCCTCCTCCTCCTCCTCCTCCTCGCTCGCTCGCTCGCTCGCTCGCTCGCTCGCTCGCTCGCTCCTTGGGGCTTAAAAGTTTGAGCCCGTGCCAGAAGATGAAAAGGTGAAAGTCGCGCACAGAATTTCGAATTCATGCAAGAAGAGGGGGGTCAGGGCGAC